ATTACTATCTAAGGGAAAATTTGGTAGTTTTGACTGTATTCCTATATAACAGATTATTCTGATCTTTTAGACTAAACTGTACAGTGTATTCATCTCGGAGGAACTATTCTGGTATCTTGACTACTTTATATCGAAAATTTCCACCCTGTCAAATTTCTGCCCTTCGATGTTAAAATTTCCCCCGTTTTTCGCCCAATACAAAATTCGCCCCTTCACGTCTTACAATGTGTATGATGTTGTTTACTGTAATGATATCCTCACTATGGAGGGCGAAAAATGGGAAAATTAAACTGCAGCCAAAATTTCCGGGTATACAGTATATTCCTTTTCTTCTGTTGAGCCAAGTACATATCTTATGCTTGCTGAAGTATTTCAAGAGTAAACCTAAAGTACAATAAAGATAGATGGTCTCCATGACAACCATTCCTAAACCCTCAGCAATTGGTTGACAACCTGTTATCTGGATAGACTCTCTCTTTAAGATTTTTTTGTTCCAGAAACCTAGTAATATTTTTTTTCTCTTTCACACATGATGATAAGGCAAAATATAATTAAGGCCACAATTAATGATGCAGTTCTAATGTGAAAGTTTTTTCTATACATACACATGTGAGCTAAAAGCTGCCTGCAGACAGCCTGATTACCTGGGGAGGACTAGCTGGGGTTTGTTCTGGGTTTCACGCCTGTCTATATGACATACACTATCATCTTTTCACCCTGTGGTTTATGAGGTTTTACATAAATTACGCTCATCAACTCTGTGCCGTGGGAAAGTATCTTCAATGTCAAAATCTCATAGCAAAGCTCAGGTGTGATTTTGTTTTTAGATATTAATTTATTCATGCACATAAAATAAATGGCTCTTTGCTGTGTTTTTCTTGCATTTGAATGGAAGCGTAGTAAATGTATAAATGATTTTAATAGACTGTCCCTACAGGCCGTGTCATTTCAGTTAATACAGTGATACCTGTCGCCTGTCTATACTTCAGACAGGTGTACACATGGGTCCTCATTATCATCACTACCTCATAATTGTGAGAACCTTTATAGAAATCTTAAATACTCAACTTGACAGGGAACTCGTAATCTTTATAATATTTCAGAAAATGTTAAAATATTGATGAATTTAACCTTGATTTTAATTATTTTACATTCAAAGTATTAACAATCATATCTTCAAATGATTTTAGATATACAAATTCAATATCTTTCTATTACAAGGTAATGACATATCAGAATATATGCATTCAAAGACCTGTATGGGATGTAACAGGTATCATAGTAAATACATTCTTAGCAAATAGGATTTAAATTTCATAGATAAAAGAATAATATTAAACTTAATTTTATAAAAAATATATATGAGAGGTACAAATTTGAGTTAGCATCATGAATTCAGTTTGGCAGATTACTATAGGTGTAACTGTGTAGCATCAGCTGATGTTGTGGGGTACCTACAAACCTACAAAACTGAGAAAGTGTCAACACTATAGGTGTAACTGTGCATCAGCTGATGTTGTGGGGTACCTACAAACCTACAAAACTGGGACAGTGTCAACACTTTAGGTGTAACTGTGCATCAGCTGATGTTGTGGGGTACCTACAAACCTACAACACTGGGACAGTGTCAACACTATAGGTGTAACTGTGTAGCATCAGCTGATGTTGTGGGGTACCTACAAACCTACAACACTGGGACAGTGTCAACACTATAGGTGTAACTGTGTAGCATCAGCTGATGTTGTGGGGTACCTACAAACCTACAAAACTGGGACAGTGTCAACACTATAGGTGTAACTGTGTAGCATCAGCTGATGTTGTGGGGTACCTACAAACCTACAAAACTGGGACAGTGTCAACACTATAGGTGTAACTGTGCATCAGCTGATGTTGTGGGGTACCTACAAACCTACAACACTGGGACAGTGTCAACACTATAGGTGTAACTGTGTAGCATCAGCTGATGTTGTGGGGTACCTACAAACCTACAAAACTGGGACAGTGTCAACACTATAGGTGTAACTGTGCATCAGCTGATGTTGTGGGGTACCTACAAACCTACAACACTGGGACAGTGTCAACACTATAGGTGTAACTGTGTAGCATCAGCTGATGTTGTGGGGTACCTACAAACCTACAAAACTGGGACAGTGTCAACACTATAGGTGTAACTGTGCATCAGCTGATGTTGTGGGGTACCTACAAACCTACAACACTGGGACAGTGTCAACACTATAGGTGTAACTGTGTAGCATCAGCTGATGTTGTGGGGTACCTACAAACCTACAAAACTGGGACAGTGTCAACACTATAGGTGTAACTGTGCATCAGCTGATGTTGTGGGGTACCTACAAACCTACAACACTGGGACAGTGTCAACACTATAGGTGTAACTGTGTAGCATCAGCTGATGTTGTGGGGTACCTACAAACCTACAAAACTGGGACAGTGTCAACACTATAGGTGTAACTGTGCATCAGCTGATGTTGTGGGGTACCTACAAACCTACAACACTGGGACAGTGTCAACACTATAGGTGTAACTGTGTAGCATCAGCTGATGTTGTGGGGTACCTACAAACCTACAAAACTGGGACAGTGTCAACACTATAGGTGTAACTGTGCATCAGCTGATGTTGTGGGGTACCTACAAACCTACAACACTGGGACAGTGTCAACACTATAGGTGTAACTGTGTAGCATCAGCTGATGTTGTGGGGTACCTACAAACCTACAAAACTGGGACAGTGTCAACACTATAGGTGTAACTGTGCATCAGCTGATGTTGTGGGGTACCTACAAACCTACAACACTGGGACAGTGTCAACACTATAGGTGTAACTGTGTAGCATCAGCTGATGTTGTGGGGTACCTACAAACCTACAAAACTGGGACAGTGTCAACACTATAGGTGTAACTGTGCATCAGCTGATGTTGTGGGGTACCTACAAACCTACAACACTGGGACAGTGTCAACACTATAGGTGTAACTGTGTAGCATCAGCTGATGTTGTGGGGTACCTACAAACCTACAAAACTGGGACAGTGTCAACACTATAGGTGTAACTGTGCATCAGCTGATGTTGTGGGGTACCTACAAACCTACAACACTGGGACAGTGTCAACACTATAGGTGTAACTGTGTAGCATCAGCTGATGTTGTGGGGTACCTACAAACCTACAAAACTGGGACAGTGTCAACACTATAGGTGTAACTGTGCATCAGCTGATGTTGTGGGGTACCTACAAACCTACAACACTGGGACAGTGTCAACACTATAGGTGTAACTGTGTAGCATCAGCTGATGTTGTGGGGTACCTACAAACCTACAAAACTGGGACAGTGTCAACACTATAGGTGTAACTGTGCATCAGCTGATGTTGTGGGGTACCTACAAACCTACAACACTGGGACAGTGTCAACACTATAGGTGTAACTGTGTAGCATCAGCTGATGTTGTGGGGTACCTACAAACCTACAAAACTGGGACAGTGTCAACACTATAGGTGTAACTGTGCATCAGCTGATGTTGTGGGGTACCTACAAACCTACAACACTGGGACAGTGTCAACACTATAGGTGTAACTGTGTAGCATCAGCTGATGTTGTGGGGTACCTACAAACCTACAAAACTGGGACAGTGTCAACACTATAGGTGTAACTGTGCATCAGCTGATGTTGTGGGGTACCTACAAACCTACAACACTGGGACAGTGTCAACACTATAGGTGTAACTGTGTAGCATCAGCTGATGTTGTGGGGTACCTACAAACCTACAAAACTGGGACAGTGTCAACACTATAGGTGTAACTGTGCATCAGCTGATGTTGTGGGGTACCTACAAACCTACAACACTGGGACAGTGTCAACACTATAGGTGTAACTGTGTAGCATCAGCTGATGTTGTGGGGTACCTACAAACCTACAAAACTGGGACAGTGTCAACACTATAGGTGTAACTGTGCATCAGCTGATGTTGTGGGGTACCTACAAACCTACAACACTGGGACAGTGTCAACACTATAGGTGTAACTGTGTAGCATCAGCTGATGTTGTGGGGTACCTACAAACCTACAAAACTGGGACAGTGTCAACACTATAGGTGTAACTGTGCATCAGCTGATGTTGTGGGGTACCTACAAACCTACAACACTGGGACAGTGTCAACACTATAGGTGTAACTGTGTAGCATCAGCTGATGTTGTGGGGTACCTACAAACCTACAAAACTGGGACAGTGTCAACACTATAGGTGTAACTGTGCATCAGCTGATGTTGTGGGGTACCTACAAACCTATTGTGGGGGTAGTTATCAAGGGGGACAGGAGAAAGGGTTTGGAGGGAAGGAAGGTGGAGGGAGAAGTGAAGGGGTAGGGTGAGGAGGAGCAGGGAGGATGGTATGGAAGAGAAGGGGGCATGTTGGGGGTCGGTTTATGAAGGAACTTCTAGTTAAGATTTGTGATGAATTATGTCTCCAATTATTGCACAATAGCAGCAGATTTGTCTCATTCTGAAGCTGTTGTGTGATGATAGCAGGATCGTGTAGTGGGAAATGTATCTATGATGTAGTCACAGTGCCAAGGGCTGAATTTGGACGGGTGCCTGTGTCCCAATTACTGGGTGTGCTCACATCAACATACACTGAACAACTCATCACATGTAATTAAAAATACTACAGTCGCTTACGTTATCACTTACATAACACGGCCTAATACTCAACAAAATTTATCAACAAGTTTAGAAGGGCGGTAGTGGGTGGACTCAGAAAATGTAATAATTACATTCTACAATACCCAGTTCATGTAACTTACATAAAAATAATTTATATGTGTATCTCTATACATCTGCAGCACCATATATTTATGTATGTGATATGTATGTACCTTAATTAACTATGTTACTGATGCTATGCATATACAAGGTTAAATGTGGGGGGTGGATTGTTGAAAGGATCACCGCTGGATCTTTCCTGTACCTATATGATGGTTTGGTTTGTTTCAGACGACGGTCAAATTATCGAGCGTGCTGCACATTCGGGCATCATTCTTCCTGGACAGGACTGGCACACGATCACGCACAACGGGCCGACGGCAGGTCTGATCTACAGGATACGCGTAGTTTGTGACGAACACTACTACAACACAACATGTACCAAATTCTGCCGTCCCCGCAATGACAAGATCGGACATTATAATTGTGATCAGAATGGGGATAAGGTGTGCATTGATGGCTGGATAGGGCCAGATTGTGAGGAGGGTAAGTAACATGTGATATTGATCTTGGATTGATGGTTAAGGCCAAGGTCATACTATTTATAGTTTGGTTACCAAGGAACAGCCTTGACCTTTACAATGCACACTTTTATAAAGGTCATTTACGAGAGGCAAAAAGTGCATACATTTTTTGTTGAATTGAAGAAACACATTGTCATCTGAACTGCTCGTGGTGTATAGAGAATAGATTATTTCTGTTAATTCTTGTTGCAATAAATTTTATATGAAAAAGTTGATGGAATTATTATTATACTGTATAGCCCTGGTATTATGAGGGAAGAAGTGTCTCTTGTATATTACTGTGACTTGGGTCATCATATCATTTCTTAAAATACAGGTATATTGTTACCTTGAAGCTTTCATATATCTATATGTAGAAGATGGGATCATCATTACCTTATACCTGAAATCTATCTATTAGTGTTGAGGGGGTTATTACATTATGTCTAGGATTTATATGTTGAGGGGCGGGGAGTTCCACAGAACCATACCTGTCAATGGGAAGAATCATCATACTGCATGAAAGTCCATTTACAAGTTAAAAAACCTGGTGATAAACATCCCAGATAACATATTTGACAGTATAGATGAAACTTGTTGTTAATATTAAAATCTCAATGTTGATGGGTCACCTGTATAGTCTGCCATTGTCATCTCACCTGAGCGTGGGAAATGTCACTTTTAAAATGTCCTTCTATTTTTTTATGTCATTCTATTTCCTTTTTGCTAAGTAATGCTTTCCTTGGACATTAAGAACATTTGCAGGTTTGCAATTTCACTACTACATTTCACAGGTATATTGTGTCAGTTAGGTAATAATAACCGACAACTAACGCCCTCTAGGTTGGGGAGCACCATTATAGTTAGAGTATATACTCTATAGTGGGAGAATCATTAATGTATATGGGATAGGGTTAGATATCTCAATTCTGTTCTACCATCTTACTGTGAGGGTATGGGAAATCAGTGATAATAGGCACTGTTATTGGCTCACCTTGTCTGAAGGAACAAGGGGACTTAATGCCCTATCGTGATGTCCACCGTTCACCTATCCATCTGTCATATGTCCGTCCATTTACCGTCTGTTAAATTAGTTTTGTCAAGTTGCTTTTTAAACAGCTTCTGTTCTGGAACTGGGCTGGGTGACTTGGAATTGTTTACAACTCACAACATATTACCATAACCTACTAGCTGGCCATGGGAGACAAACTCAAACCTTGCATTGAGCCCCTTGTTTTATTTGACTTAGATTTTTATGGTAAAAGACCTGAAAGTCAAAGCACTGAAATTGTGTGTAGTATGTTCTGTGGAAGGTATAGCTCCACAGTGTAAGGACCCCTCCAAGTATAGCAGCTATAATGTGCATTTTAGATTGAATTACAATCTATTTTTTTCTCAAAAATTAATCACTTCTTTTTCAGTCATGTTTAAATGAAGTCGGCTTTAATTTGTCAAAAGACCATCAGTTAATACGACAGAAAGCTAGTCAGCACTGTAATGCTGTATGAACATAGAATGGCCAGGTGCACTCAATATGCCTGATTTGAAAATCAAGATGACTATATATATCAAACTCAATTTGAATACACTTATAATAAAATGCTGCTTATAGAATTTTTATATCTTTGCATTTGAAAATTGATCTCTATGTCAGAATGTTAAAAAAATATATATATGACAAAGCATTCAATTAAAGAGTGTCTGTGATTTAACTATTGGTTATAATAGTGATAGGTAAGCATTTACAGAGGAGGCTCACACCTGTTCCTGCTAGACCCACAACAAAGAGTTCCTTGTTTTTTGATTCCACTAACTGGTGTATATTTACATGGTACCTACATTTGTATGAAAATAGATTTTTTTTAAATCAAAAAAGGAACTTAACATACATATTTTCTGAGCTTCAACAATGCATATTTTTGAATAGTTTGAAAATTGGATATCGTCATGAGAACACATTTAGTGAACATCAATGATTATTGGTGAGTTGTATATTTTTCACTCAAGAAGAATGTGTAGTTAGACACACCTGTTATGTATGGAGCGAGGAAGTGAAGCTTACTCAAGTCTACAACTTGTTTTGATGTTATAATAGTGCAGACCACACCACAGTAAAACCCAATGATTTTTTGGTATTATTTTATGTATGAAGAGTATTTACTCCTCTGAACTCCTTATTGACATTGAATGAGCTTTGACCTTGAAGGCCCATATCAAAGACAGATTTGTGTTACCTTATCATTAGGGGGTCAGTGATATTTGTGTAGAGATTTGTGTTACTTTATCATTAGGGGGTCAGTTATATTTGTGTAGAGATTTGTGTTACCTTATCTTTAGGGGGTCAGTGATATTTGTGTAGAGATTTGTGTTACTTTATCATTAGGGGGTCAGTTATATTTGTGTAGAGATTTGTGTTACCTTATCTTTAGGGGGTCAGTGATATTTGTGTAGAGGTTTGTGTTACCTTATCATTAGGGGGTCAGTTATATTTGTGTAGAGATTTGTGTTACTTTATCATTAGGGGGTCAGTGATATTTGGGTAGAGATTTGTGTTACCTTATCATTAGGGGGGCAGTGATATTTGTGTAGAGATTTGTGTTCCCTTATCATTAGGGGGTCAGTGATATTTGTGTAGAGATTTGTGTTACTTTATCATTAGGGGGTCAGTGATATTTGTGTAGAGATTTGTGTTTGTGTAAATGTTTGTGATGTTATTTCCATCTTCTTTTTTAGCCCTATGTCGCACCGGCTGTAGTCATGGATCATGTGACACTCCTGGGGAATGCAAGTAAGAAAGTCTTCCTTATTTCTCAATCTGCAGATTAGAAGAAACATGCCAAGTAAACATGCATGTTTTCATTTCTATAATCTGAATTTTATCTCTAAATGGTGCTAGTCTCAAGCCTGATGCATACTTTATCTCTAAATGGTGCTAGTCTCAAGCCTGATGCATACTTTATCTCTAAATGGTGCTAGTCTCAAGCCTGATGCATACTTTATCTCTAAATGGTGCTAGTCTCAAGCCTAATGCATACTTTATCTCTAAATGGTGCTAGTCTCAAGCCTGATGCACTTAAAGGGCATAGTTTTAATTGCAACAATAAGTAATGTTTCCAAAAATAACATTTTTTTTTTTTGGTTTGTGCAAAAATTCAACTGTATGTAATGGTCGTACAGTGTTTGCTCTGCTGAAATAGGACTGCCCAGTTTGGTATTAGTCAAGATAGAGAAATGTCCCAATAAAACCGTCTGTTAGGACCCCAGGGCCGACTGAGGGGAATTGTAATAAAATGATCTTATTCTACTGATAGACGTTATTGTTTTATTGGATACATTGTTTTTCATGAAACCGAGTGGTTAGATAGAATCTGAACTGATTTTGGTCTCCACATAAACAACTTATATACCTGACAGGTTTGTGGGCTAACCTCTGATGTTGTAGGGATTTCCAGTGCTTGTTTGTGTACAGGATTTGATAGGTTAAGTGTTGTGTATGCTATTTACCTTGGTGAAGATCATCCCTGAGAATTCTATTCCTATCTTATTATAGCATAGGCAGTGCAGGTTTGAAAAACTAAACAAATAATCAACATGTTGAGGTCAAGAGAGGTTCAACCTGCTACCCATTGGATCAAGTAAAGAAAAAACAATTCTATACAATACATACAAGGCTAAATTACCCAGCTGATATTTTCTTACTTTTCACACAGAAGTATAAAACTGATATTTCATGTAAAAATTATCAATTTGGGAATGAATACAATGTAAAAATTTGGGAACAAGGGATGATGAAAGGCTGTGGATACCAAACTCCAACATGTACATGTAAGCAGACGTACGTTTATGACATTATAATGTGAAAGATATCATTTTTCTCTGTTCTGTCCATCAGAAGTTCACATATGATTTGTTGAGATGCGCACAGGTAATGTGTGCCCATTAGAGTGACACCAGTGTTTCTGCCTGCTGTTGTATGTGGTAAAGAGGAACAGTTCCCACGCTTCACGCTATTACACTCTGACACTTCATGTGTCTAATTACAAATTCAACTCCTAAATTGCTACAAACAGTTTCAGATTGGGCCTCTATATGGGTGATGGAAATTTAACTATTGTCTTTGGTTCCTTGGAGCCCAACAGACCTGTCCTGTGTCAGTATTGTTAGGCACACAGGAACACTAGTGTGTGGCAAAGGGTCCTACTTAGTGAATCGTACAAATAGGTATTTTAATGTATCAACAATATTTGAATTTAAAGTATTGGTGCCCCAGATTGTGTCATTTATTTCTTATCATGAATCTCATTAGGGAGATGACAGGTAATTAGCATGATATGAAAGGCTTGTTTGTCAAGGCAGAATATCATTAGAACTCAGAGTACATTTATAGTACAGAGGCTTCCTCTGATAAATACATTATCATATTGTAGGTAAATATAGCAATGAACTGAAGGTAAACAGGTGATCTCAGGGTAGAAAAGAGTTCCCCAAGTCTCAGGGTAGAAAAGAGTTCCCCAAGTAAGGATTCCGAAGTAAACAGGTGATCTCAGGGTAGAAAAGAGTTCCCCAAGTAAGGATTCCGACGTAAAGCAGGATCTGCTGATAAAATCAGAATCTCAAGGTAAAGTTACAACCTTGGGTAAAATAAAATCTGCTTGTAAAAAAAGGGCTATCCAGGTAAGGCTATGATTCCAGGTAAATGTGAGATCTACAAGTAAAATTAGGATCTGCAGGTAAAGGGATGATTCCAGGTAAATAGGATCTACAGGTAAAGGGATGATTCCAGGTAAATAGGATCTACAGGTAAAAATAGGTTTTCCAAATAAACTTATTATTTCAGGTAATGTTATAGTGCCAAATAAACTGTAAATCTAGCAGTAAAAGTAGGACCTCCAGGTAAATTATAATTCCAGGTAAAATAAGACCTGCTCGTGAAAATAGGATCACAGGGTTAAGTTGTGCTCCCCAGGTAAAGATGGTATCTACAGCTAAGGTTTATAGGGAAAGCAGAAGGAAATTTCAAATGATTAAAATATAGGAGCTGTAAATCTTGTATTTCAACTTCAATGTTACACCTCCTGACATTTGAACATATTACCTTTTTACATCCTTTGGTCAACAAACAAAGCATCTTTATTTTAAATTTGAATATGATGAATACATTAGTCCAACTCTGTTTTCTTTATTAACAGCCTTAATGATTCATAATCTGTTTTGATTTTTTCTCAATTATGTAAAAATAATATAAAAAATCATTCTAAATCTTTTCTGAGAAATTAATAGTCTTTCAATAGTCCCTTTCTATTAACAAAAGCTTTTGTACTCAAAATACAAGTTAATATTAAAATTATACAAATCTTAAAAATGTATATAAAAGTATTGCAGTGATTATATACTGAAAAGAAGAAGACAGTAGGGTTTTAACATCCGTAAAATACCAGTAACAGCAACTCTGCTGGGTGTTCAGTAAATGATGTTGGCTGGCAACCGTGAACAGGATCAGGGAATTGTTTCAGGTTCAGTAAATGATGTTGGCTGGCAACCGTGAACAGGATCAGAGAATGGTTTCAGGTTCAGTAAATGATGTTAGCTGGCAACCGTGAACAGGATCAGGGAATTATTGCAGGTTCAATAAATGATGTTAGCTGGCAACCGTGAACAGGATCAGAGAATTGTTTCAGGTTCAGTAAATGATGTTAGCTGGCAACCGTGAACAGGATCAGGGAATTGTTTCAGGTTCAGTAAATGATGTTAGCTGGCAACCGTGAACAGGATCAGGGAATTGTTTCAGGTTCAGTAAATGATGTTAGCTGGCAACCGTGAACAGGATCAGGGAATTGTTTCAGGTTCAGTAAATGATGTTAGCTGGCAACCGTGAACAGGATCAGGGAATTGTTTCAGGTTCAGTAAATGATGTTAGCTGGCAACCGTGAACAGGATCAGGGAATTGTTTCAGGTTCAGTAAATGATGTTAGCTGGCAACCGTGAACAGGATCAGGGAATTGTTTCAGGTTCAGTAAATGATGTTAGCTGGCAACCGTGAACAGGATCAGGGAATTGTTTCAGGTTCAGTAAATGATGTTAGCTGGCAACCGTGAACAGGATCAGGGAATTGTTTCAGGTTCAGTAAATGATGTTAGCTGGCAACCGTGAACAGGATCAGGGAATTGTTTCAGGTTCAGTAAATGATGTTAGCTGGCAACCGTGAACAGGATCAGGGAATTGTTTCAGGTTCAGTAAATGATGTTAGCTGGCAACCGTGAACAGGATCAGGGAATTGTTTCAGGTTCAGTAAATGATGTTAGCTGGCAACCGTGAACAGGATCAGGGAATTGTTTCAGGTTCAGTAAATGATGTTAGCTGGCAACCGTGAACAGGATCAGGGAATTGTTTCAGGTTCAGTAAATGATGTTAGCTGGCAACCGTGAACAGGATCAGGGAATTGTTTCAGGTTCAGTAAATGATGTTAGCTGGCAACCGTGAACAGGATCAGGGAATTGTTTCAGGTTCAGTAAATGATGTTAGCTGGCAACCGTGAACAGGATCAGGGAATTGTTTCAGGTTCAGTAAATGATGTTGGCTGGCAACCGTGAACAGGATCAGGGAATTGTTTCAGGTTCAGTAAATGATGTTGGCTGGCAACCGTGAACAGGATCAGGGAATTGTTTCAGGTTCAGTAAATGATGTTGGCTGGCAACCGTGAACAGGATCAGAGAATTGTTTCAGGTTCAATAAATAATGTAAGCTGGCAACCGTAAACAGGGTCAGAGAATTGTTTCAGGTTTAGGAAGTGTCAATTTAAAAACCTCTTGACATTATCTTACACAATGCTGATTAGAGCAGCCGATCAGATCGGGGAACATACATGCATGTGCATTGTATGTGTTTGTGCGTAAATCAGTGAAGTGTCACCTATGGTAATGAATGATTGAAACAGGTTAGACTCTTTGGCATGTAATAATCTTGTTGCTAGTGATTTTAAGCGTGCTTTAATTAGATTTCTAACATGGCTGCTCTGATTGGATTGGCTGTCATTCTACATAAAATTCTACCACTGTTAGCCATGATACTCCATTGTTTAATTATCTGAAACTTTGAGAATAGCTCCACAGTTTCGGGGAAAGGGGTTTTAAGCTATTTCAGAAACAGAGATACAGTGTCAGTGTGACTAAAGTAATCTCGTCTTAGTTTGTGTGGCAGGGATGACCTGTAAAGAAATAGCAAGAGCTTTGTTCTTAAGTACAGAGCTTGTCAATTTAGATAAATATTCATACGATTTTTGTAGAACTTTTGTCAATAAATGTCTTCAATTAACAGCATAAAACAATGTGTAATTCTTGGTTTATCAAGATTCGTTGATCTGGACGAGACAGCATTTGTAATGTTCAATTTTAACAGACAGTAATGCGTATCATTTGCTTGGTGTGCATATCTGTAGTTTTGGGTACACAAAACATATGTATAACCAGGCCGATACCCTATCAAGGATGCATGCCCACAGACCCGAGTTATGTCCGCTACATCACTTGGTATATACCAACTAGCTAATGAAGCAGAACAAGGACATGTGCAAGCTAACTATTTTAAAATTAAGAATTTCTCTCGCACACGAAGGCGAGGCTCGTTTGGATCTGTACCCAATGTGTGAAAGCCTGTGAAATGTTAAAAAGAAGTTCTACAATATTACATAATAAAGTAACCAGTTATTCTACTCACTTAATCCTGTAGCAAATCTCACAAATTTTAATCAATAGTTTCAAAAGAATATGATATGCAAGTTTTAATTGAGGGAATACTATATGTACGGGTACTTGTCATCAGACAAATTGATTTCTTGCAAAACTTATTTTCAAAAAAATGATTCTTTTTTGTACTTTGCATTCATGGTCAAATGTAATAAATGATTGGAAAAATTGTGAAATGAAACTTTAAAAAGAAATTTAAAGATGCCCATGCTACATACATCAGGGTATATGTACCGATCTAACAGTCACTAAGATACTTAATGTTCTGTTGTATGCTAGCTTTAGCTCATTTTACAGAATATAGGAGCAGGTTATTTCTTACGGATGAGACATTTTTTCAAAGGTTGAAAAACATGTACAAAACTTAGTGCTTACCAATGTGTTAACCAAAGCAATATATGTATTAGTCAGGGCAATATATGTATTAGTCAGGGTATTACGTATTGGTAGTACATGGGAAAATATTGTACTGCACCAGGGCAATACGTATTGGTAGTACATGGGAGAATATTGTACTGCACCAGGGCAATACGTATTAGTAGTACATGGGAGAATATTTGCCATTTCTCTGTAAAAACTTCAGAATTATTTGCAGCATGCCATTGAGCTGGTGCTTCCTGGGAAGATGGCTGCCGTATGCCAAAACATCACTTAGATTTCCATCTGTTCATGAGTGTACCTTAATTGTTTTTCACATCTAATATTGTTTCAATGAACACCTGTTTCTGATTGCTGTCTAATTCCTACAAGCAGCCTTTTCCTGGCTTGCCAGGTCTTAACTATTGGTACATTTACAAATCAGACAAAAACTGGAGAGGTTTATGTAGCGTAGTTCACACACAGGTATCGCACCGTAATACAAAACACAAATACACAACAAGGTGTATCACACTCAGTAAAATAAAAATCAGAAGAACGAAGTGATAGGAACTTTGTAAACAGTTTAAGATTCATAAAATTCATTCCATTATGTTGTTTGTGTAAGGATTGCTTTGATCAGCATGTTACCTATAGATATCTACTGGCTGTGAAAGTCGGGCATATAGAAATAACATTAATTAACAAAGGTTCCTATATTTTACTGATGTTTAATCAAGATTGGAAAATTTATGTACCATTTTTAATGTGTATAAATCATACCAAAATGTCCAGAAACTAGGTCATTGTACCAGTGTTTTGTTTACAATAGAAGGAGGAATTTACAGACTTTGGCATCATAAGGAAGAGTTGTTGAACTTTGATATTAAAGAGGATTTTATAAACTTTGGCAAGATATGGAGGGGTTCATGAAATTTGGCATCATAATTTCTTTGGAAGGGTATATAAAGTTTTCATAATATTTGCAGGAAGTAAAATATTTGCAGAAAGTTATGAGTTAGGTATTATTTTTGAGGAGTTTATGAACTTGTGTTGAGGGGTTAATGATCTTTGCTAAACCTAAGGGAATTTATTATCTTGGACAATATTTGAATGGATTCATGGCCCATCACATTTCATCACTCTCGGCCAATTACAGTTTGTCATTCTTAGCCCATCACAGTTCATCAGTTTCATTTAATGATTGTTTATCACTTCCGGTCCATTAGAGTTAATCACCCTTGGTCTATCACACTTCATCATTCCTGGCCCATCACACTTCATCATTCCTGGCCCATCACTCTTCATCATTTCCGGTCCATCACACTTCATCATTTCTGGCCCATCACACTTCATCATTCCTGGCCCATCACACTTCATCATTCCTATCCCATTGCACTTCATCATTCCTGGCCCATCACACTTCATCATTCCTGGTCTATCACACTTCATCACTCCTGGTCTATCACACTTCATCATTCCTGGTCTATCACACTTCATCACCTTTGGCCCATCACCTTCATCATTCCTGGTCTATCAAACTTCATCATTCCTGGTCTATCACACTTCATCATTCCTGGTCTATCACACTTCATCATTCCTGCTCTATCACACTTCAACATTCCTGGTCTATCACACTTCATCACTCCTGTCCCCTCACACTTCATCATTCCTGGCCCATCACACCTCATCATTCCTGGTCTATCACACTTCATCAGTCCTGGCCCATCACACTTCATCATTCTTGGCCTATCACACTTCATCATTCCTGGTCTATCACTCTTCATCATTCCAGGTCTATCACACTTCATCATTCCTGATCTATCACACTTCATCATTCCTGGCCCATCACACTTCATCATTCCTGGCCTGTTGCAGTTCATCACTTATGACCCATATCTGTTCATCAACATCATCGATCATAGCTAAATCATCAGCCTATCACTGTGGTTCCATGCCAGCCTCAGTTTTTATTTCCCTGTATTTATCGACTTAATAAATTTGCTCCATTTGTGAACCTCTTATTTCAAGAGGGGTAATCATCAGAGGACCCCAGGTTTCCCCACAAGAGGTTCCTAGGGGTCACCATCAAAGGACCCCAGGGGTCACCACATATGGACCTGAGAGGTCACCTTCAGAGGATCAAAGTTTCCCCACCAGAGGTCCTTAGGGGTCACCGCAAGTGGACCTGAGGGGTCACCTTCAGAGGATCCCAGGTTTCCCCACCAGAGGTCCCGAGGGGTCACCTTCAGAAGCCCTCATGTTTTTCCACCAGGAGTCCTTAGGGGTCACCATCAGAGGACCCCAGGTTTCCCACCAGAGGTCCTTAGGGGTCACCATCAGAGGACCCCAGGGGTCACCTTCAAAGGACCTCATGTTTTCCTACCAGAGGTCCCTAGGGGTCACCATCAGAGGACCCCAGGTATCACAGGTGAGGTACATGTAGTATGAGAGGGGTTATACTTCAATTCAGATTTTTTACTTGGGATTATATGTATGTGTTTACTAATATGTATGTGATACATGTATGTAAAGCAGTTTCAGCAAAACATGGTCAATCAAAGATAATCTGGAATGGTCAAATTTTCAAGAATTTATGCAATATGGGAGATTAGACTTGATAATTAAGTCTTTTTATATTAAATTTTTAACCATTATTTTTACTTTTGACATCAACAGAATTCCATAGTTTTCTTTTTTGCTCAAATGTGGTTAACAAACTGAAACTATGTCATTTGACACTTAATTTTTGCTGGATTAGATCACTGAAAATATATAATCAACATTTGTAGACTTGTCAAATGGTACCTCACCCAATTTTTTGAAAAGTTGGCAAGTATGTGACGCTATTACATCAATCTTGTTTACTAGGGGAGACAACCAGGCTGTGATTGAGTGATTATATCTTCTAATCCTCTTTATCTTTATATAATTACCTTGTAACCAGTTAAATAAGGTAAAAGTGGCAGACAGATAGGTAGTGTGACTGTACAGTGTATGGGTACCTGTCATTACCAGCAGCATCAAGGGTATAACCATTCACTGAAGGAACGCCGCAGGCTATTCCTTCCTAATCTATGTAGGTTTAAAACATTTTAGGGTGACAAAACAGAAGCATGGTTGACTGATTAGAGAAAATTAATTAAAAACAAAAATAAACCTGACTGGGAGACACTTTCCCACACTATCCCGACTGCTATGTAAATGTCAAATTCATCATTCATGAATTTAAAATTGATGTGAGGTGTCATTAGGTGACTCGAGCCTTATCAATCAGTGTTACCTCCGAAGGTTTGTTTTACTTGTATTTGTTTTACCTGTGTATTGTTCTAACACGTAACACCAGATGTTTGGCCTTATTGTATAGGTGATGGATGACATCTTGTAATTACTTATCAGAAAATAAATAATAAATTTGAAAATAAAAAAGTTATACATCAACCTGGTTGTTAGATGGCAACTTGTTGGTTAAACGGCTCACTGAGAAAATTCTTGTTTACATATTCTTACGGAACAGACAGCTCCTTTTCTGAAAGTAAAATGTATAGACCATGATAACATTCACATCTAGTCAACCATGCTCTTTTATATCAGAATACACCAAAATGTGACATTTATTTCAGTGATATAATTTTAGATTTGATTAAGTTACATAAAGACTTTGATAAAGATAGATGTTATGTTCATAACAGGTGGACATTAGGTAACCACCATACCTGGCCTCGTATCCCAGGCTGTCATCACACCATACCTGTCCAGGTATCACAGGCTGTCATAACAGCAACATACCTGTCCAGGTATTACAGGCTGTCATCACACCACACCTGTCCTCGTATCCCACGCTGTCATCACACCATACATGTCCAGGTATCACAGGATGTCATCACACCATACCAGACCAGGTATCACAGGCTGCCATAACAGCACCATACCTGTCCATGTATCACAGTCTGTCATAACAGCACCAAACCCGTCCAGGTATCACAGACTGTTTTCACACAACATACCTGTCCAGGTATAACAGCCTGTCATCACACAATACCTGTCCTCGTATCCCAGGCTGTCATCACACCACACCTGTCCTCGTATCCCAGTCTGTCATCACACCATACCTGGCCAGGTATCACAGGCTGTAATAACAGCACCATACCTGTCCATGTATCACAGTCTGTCATAACAGCACCAAACCCGTCCAGGTATCACAGACTGTTATCACACAACATACCTGTCCAGGTATCACAGACTGTCATAACAGCACCATATACCTGGCAAGGTATCACAGGCAGTCATAACAGCACCATACCTGGACAGGTATCATATACTGTTATCACACAACATACCTGTCCAGGTATCACAGACTGTCATTACAGCACCATACCTGTCCAGGTATCACAGATTGTCATCACACACCATACCTGTCCAGGTATTACAGGCTGACATCATAGCACACACTTTAATGATGAAAAAAAACAGATTAATGATTTGTGCATTATTGGAACAAATTCATTTTGCAGAATTTAATTTCATCCAGATTTTTTCATCTTGTTGACAAATTTATTTTCAATCAGTAAAGTGTGGTTTTAATTTGTCTTGTTTGATCTCATCGTAACTGCTTGTTTAGTGATACCCTGTGTATCGCTTTTTAATTTAATGTTCAATTTATCAGACCCCGATAGAAAGCTTATTTGATATTAAAGAATAGGGCGGGATTAATGAGGTGTGAAAGAAATTATTCTCACCCTCCTGACCGATGGTTAGTGCTGGGAGGGCACATCAGGGGGAATAGTGCGAGTCGAGAGCATCAGGAGCGTTTACTGGGAGACGGGAGGGCATTTGGGGAAGGTTGTGTCGGAGCACTCATTCATATATGTCACCTCTTTAAGAGCCCTGGTTACAAATGTTTTTTGGTATTGGAGCCTGCTTGTCAGTATAAAACACTGGTACCCAGTGATAGCACTATGCGGAAACATCACAAGATCCTAACAAGCCAACTTAAGTTTGTCTCTATCCAAAGTTAGGCCTACCTATCTAGAGGACATCTTTGTATCGTAATTGATTAAATTCTATAATAGGATACAACAGAGAAATAACAACTAATGGCCACGTGTATACTGGTCGGATTGTCTCTATCCATGCTCTAAATTTACTTGTCATAAGTAATTAACTCAGCAGTTGAGCTTTTTTTCAAACTTTTTTTATTTAACTATTTATTTAAACGTTAAAGTTTTTCCGTTTCCCCAGAGAGAAGAAAGAGACAATTTGTATAATGACCTCCCATACTGCCTATAGCAACTGTTTATTACTCAATCCTTTCCTAATAAATGCATACAACCAATTTCCATTTATCTCCCCTGCAGTAAAACCTTTCTCTGGGTACTTCCCGGCAAATGTATTAATCCAGGAGATGGGCTCATTTTGTTTTTTGTTTTATGAAATATTGATGTTACGGCCCGTGGGTGTGAGGTACTGTGCCGGACAGCTGCCATAGCAACACAGCACAACAAAGTCAGCTGACTGTTTGTCTCGGCACACAGCCACAGCCCAATGCTGATTACTGATTATGTTTCAAATCTGATTCCATTGCAGGCAGATGCAGTTATAGAAAAAGATATGAAATAATAATGTCCAATAATATCATTAGATCCAGTTGATCAGGCAACTGAACATGGACATTGAGATGGAGCATTGGTTAGGAGCGTAATTTGTCAGAGGCCGATTTCTGTAGTGATGGTTATCTCCTCATTGCGTTTGGAGTGGTCCGGGCCAATTATTGAGAATATGTTAAACTTGTGTGTTATTTGATGACGGCTTGATCTCTCAGATCAGCTGCCACTACATGTGACAGTAAGGCAGTAATTCAATCTCCAACGACTCATCATACCGCACCTTTTCCTCGCCTAAAGCATTATTCATAAAAATCAAATACACATAATTCAGTGAACAATGCTATAAAATCTGTATTGTATGTCCCTCCCCTAGAAATTAACATGTCCCTCCCCTAGAAATTAACATGTTCCTCCCCTAGAAATTAACATGTCCCTCCCCTAGAAATTAACATGTCCCTCCCCTAGAAATTTACATATGATGATCTTATTTCTATATCCATTTTGTTGACAAATATCCTCATAATTATGTAAACATTCACTTATGATTTTTTTTTTTTAAATCACAATTTTTTAATATAAATTGGCTTATATTACTACAGTTATGAATCGGTTAAATCTTGTATTTATTTTCAGTCATCACAACCTGTGTAAAATCATACTCATTTTATTTCTGTGTGTAAACATGTTGATATCATGTTACAAAGAGGACCAGAAATAGATTGTGTCAGATGTCACCACTGAGTGGACCTTGTCCTGAGTATCACGTTTAGTCTTTGTGAAAATGACCTGCTCAAACACATTAAACTGAGTATAAGGGCAAGATAATGTCATGTTTAAGAACCATGAAAAGTATTTTGTACATACTATGAAAATTTCTTTGTATTTGATTTCTTAAGCGAAAAAAGGTGTCCAAGACACTGATTACCAAGTGTGAGTAAAGCCAGGGGTTGTTGAGCTCCCCACAAAACACTGTTGATATCCTCTGTAAGTGAAGCCAGGCAATGTTCAGATGAGCCCTCCCCTACCCCCACCCCACCCCACCCAATACTGCCTTCTGTGGTTTCATTTATTTAAGAGTGAGCTCCCTACCCAGAACTGTTTTTGCCCTCTACGAGTAAAGCCAGTGGTTGTTGGAACGGGCTCCATACCCAAACTGTTCTTGCTCTGAGTGAGTAAAACAAGGATATGTTGGGGCGAGCGCCCCACCCAACACTGTTCTTGCTCTAAGTGAGTAAAACAAGGATATGTTGGGTCGAGCACCCCACCCAACACTGTTCCTGCTCTGAGTGAGTAAAACAAGGGTATGTTGGGGCGAGCACCCCACCTAACACTGTTCTTGCTCTGAGTGAGTAAAACCAGGATATGTTGGGGCGAGCACCCCGCCCAACACTGTTCTTGCTCTGAGTGGGTAAAACAAGGATATGTTGGGGCGAGCCCCCCACCCAACACTGTTCTTGCCCTGAGTGAGTAAAACAAGGATATGGTGGGGCGAGCACCCCACCCAACACCGTTCTTGCTCTGAGTGAGTAAAACCAGGATATGTTGGGGCGAGCACCCCTCCCAACACTGTTCTTGCTCTGAGTGAGTCAAACAAGGATATGTTGGGGCGAGAACCCCACCCAACACTGTTCTTGCTCTAAGTGAGTAAAACAAGGATATGTTGGGGCGAGAACCCCACCCAACACTGTTCTTGCGCTGAGTGAATAAAACAAGGATATCTTGGGGCGAGCACCCCACCCAACGCTGTTCTTGCTCTGAGTGAGTAAAACCAGGATATGTTGGGGCGAGCACCCCACCTAACACTGTTCTTGCTCTGAGTGAATAAAACAAGGATATGTTGGGGCGAGCAACCCACCCAACACTGTTCTTGCCCTGAGTGAGTAAAACAAGGATATGTTGGGGCGAGCAACCCACCCAACACTGTTCTTGCCCTGAGTGAGTAAAACAAGGATATGTCGGGGCGAGCACCCCACCCAACACCGTTCTTGCTCTGAGTGAGTAAAACCAGGATATGTTGGGGCGAGCACCCCACCGAACACTGTTCTTGCCCCCTGTGAGTAAAGCCAGGAATAGTTGGGGCAAGCCCCCAACCAGACACTGTTCTTGCCCCCTGTGAGTAAAGCCAGGAATAGTTGTGGCGAGCTCCCAGGTAGATAATGATAGGATGAATGTCAACACAGTCAACCCATCTCTCTATCAATCTAGTGCAGATAAACTGACTTTATGTCAAAGTAACTAAAATGGTGAGTGATGCTGATGTAGAGATTGTCTGACAAGCTAGCCTTAGGAGACAAGGCTCTCTGTCCATGAACTGCCTGTCACTGAATCGGGTTTCAAGGATTTGGCATAGTTATATTTAAATATAAGTTTACAGCATTGAATATTTGTATGATTTGACCGGGAAGTTCTTAACTATGTATGTTAGATAATAATCCTGAACATGAAACAATCCTTATTTTAGGTACTGCGAAAATTGATTGTCCTCATGGAAATAATTGACTTATTATAGGCATAAAGGACTTCTTTATAAACTTAAAAAAGATGGTATCTGGTAATCTTTTTAAATGGTTTAAAAGTTACTTATCTGACAGAAAACAATGTGTTATTTTTGAAGGTTATGCTTCTAATTTTAAATCAATTTCTGCTGGTGTACCACAAGGTTCTGTTCCCTTTTTATTTCTTCTATTTATTAATGATATTACTCATGAAATTAACACTAATGTAAACCTTTTTGCTGATGATATGTCTCTTTTTATTATTGTTGACAAAGATGTAATTCTCCAGCAGAAGAACTTAGTGATGATCTTGAATCCATTAATAATTGGGCAAAACTCTGGAAAATCAATTTTAATCCTCAAAAAACTATTGCATTAACTGTATCTAAGAAAAATAGACAGCATCCATTACTTAAATGTATATTTGATAATCAGATAATACATGAAAATAATTTTCATAAACATCTTGGCGTAGTTTTTAATACTAATGGTTCTTGAGGTGATCATGTTAAATATATTTATGATAAATCATGTAAAAGATTAAATATTCTGGTATGCTAAAACATAAAAATGATAGGAAGTCTTTAGAATTACTATCTCTCTACTTCATTCATCCTACTTTAGAATATGCCTCTTCTGTCTGGGGTAACTGTAACATTGGGGAAGAAAAACTACTGGAATCCATTTAATTGAAGCAATGAAAATTGTAACTGGCCTAAGAAGTGGTACATCTCATCAGAAATTATACTATGAAACAGGTTTTGAAAAATTAAAAGATCGACGGAATAAGCATAAACTTGTCTTAATGATTAAAATCCTCAACCACTTAACACCTGATTATTTATTTGACATCATTGAACCTTATATTAATATACAAGTCAATCACCATTTACGGACAAATAGATTTTTAACATTCCTCGTTCTAGAACTTTTATCTACAACTGTAGTTTCTTTCCTGATGTCATGCGCCCATGGAACAATCTCGATCATTCAGTCACTTCTTCTCTGACTATCAATTCTTTTAAAAAGAAAATTAATAAAATTCAAACACCTCCCAGGAACATTTCTGAAGACTTTATCACCTGTAATCCAAGAAAACTAAATATAGTATTGTGTCAATTACATAATAATGCTAGCAATTTAAATTTTGATAAATGTAATGATCACTTGATAGTTGATCCATCTTGCTCTTGTGGCGCATCTTGTGAAAATGCTGAACATTATTTCTTCTTCTGTCCACTTTATATTAACTATAGACATTTCATTATTCATCTGTTGATCTACTTACATCTAGTAATGCTTATCTTTCTACTGATGATGATTTATTTATTCTCTTAAAAGTTCAACAATACATTTCTGCTACTAACAGATTTAATTAAAATTAGGACTGTTTTCATTGCCTCTTATACTTATATTTTTTAATTTATTTTTTATTTTTATAATTATATAATTAATAGGCTTTTGAGTAAGGGCCTGTGTGTGTGAATACTTATTTATTATGTGTGTATGTGAGTGTGTATGTGTGTTATGGTATGGTTGTAAGTGTATATGAGTGTGTCTTGTTGATCTATGTACTAAATCTATGCTTCTTGTCAATCAATACCAGATAGGAGAAGACTTGTATAGGCTAAGCCTGTTGTCTCATCTAATTGTGCAATTATTTTGTCCAATAAAATTTGTTGAAATATGAAATGGAAATAAGTGATATAAGTTGAAATGTACATTGACTTATTTGAGAATGTTTTTGACAGTATAGTACTGTGTTGTTCACATCTCGTGTTCATAGGTCCCACGGGGGTCCACATCGGGTTGCTGTATTTTTCTGCCCTTTTTCTGCTCTGTATTGACTTAAGTGGTTTTATCATTTCATTCTTTTGTGAAATAATTCTTCCGAATCGCAATGACTTTTTGTCGCATTTCATTTTACAGTTAAGTAGATATAATCATAAATGTAATCTGTGTGGTTGTACCTTATTTATTGAGACACCTAGCTGAAATGATATGATATAGGTGACAGGGAGGACAATATACTTGACAGCGTATGAGAATAAATAATTTGGACATTGAAATTCACAGAGTGTGGCATAAAAGTAATGTAGGTCGTGGTGTCTTGGCCGTTTATCTGATGTAGGGCTGAGAGGCTATCCCTTCCCAACAATCAAATCTATTCTAAATGGGAATTCAGTTGGATCGAAGAAATGATATTATTATACTGATTTAACAGTTTAGGAAGATATGATCTAATGAAAGCTTAAAGAGTAGCAGAAATGGAATAAATCAGAATATTAAATATAATGTAGCTCAGTAGGTTTATAAAGTTAAAGACAGGGACACATCACATGTTACCCTACCTTTATATAGATCGATAGGTTTTTCTCAAGTGGTAACAAATAAACAATCCTCTTTGTTGTCAGCCTGGTGGTGTGGATCACAGCTAGTGGGCCATCAATATAGTTTGCAATGTCTGAGGCATACAGGTGGACAGCGTTATGGTAGCTGCTTGTATGAACTCTCTGTTACTAGTGTTCACTCCTCAGGTAGTGGTCCCCCTTACAGGTAGTGGACTTCTCTAACAGGCAGTGGGCCTCTCTAACAGGTATTGGTCTTCTCTAACAGGTAGTAAACTTCTCTTACAGGTAGTGGACTTCTCTAACAGGCAGTGGTCCTCTCTAACAGGTAGTGAACTTCTCTAACAGGTAGTGGACTTCTCTAACAGGCAGTGGTTCTCTCGAACAGGTAGTGAACTTCTCTAACAGGTAGTGGACTTCTCTAACAGGCAGTGGTCCTCTCTAACAGGTAGTGGAATTATCTAACAGGTAGTGGACTTCTCTAACAGGTATTGGTCTTTTCTAACAGGCAGTGGACTTCTTTAACAGGTAGTGGACTTCTCTAACAGGTAGTGGACTTATCTAACAGGTAGTGGACTTCTCTAACAGGAAGTGTTCTTTTCTAATGGGTATTGGTCCTGTTAACAGGCAGTGGTCCTCTCTAACAGGCAGTGGTCCTCTCTAACAGGCAGTGGTCCTCTCTCACAGGTAGTGGTCTTGTCTAACAGGAAGTGGTCCTGTCAAAAAGGTAATGGTCCTCTCTTCCAGGTAGTGGTTATCTATCACTTATCTATGGTAGTAATCATCTATCACTAATCTATGGAAGTTATCATCTATCATTAATCTATGGTAGTTGTCATCTATAACTAATCCATGGTAGTTATTATCTATCACTTATCCATGGTAGTTATCATCTATCATTAATCTATGGTAGTTATTACTAATCTATGGTAGTTGTCATCTATCACTAATCTATGGTAGTTATTATCTATCACTAATCTATGATAATTACCATAGATGAGTGATAGATGATAACTACAATAGATTAGTGATAGATAACTACCATAGATTTATGATAGATGATAACTACCGTAGATTAGTGATAGATGATAATTACCATAGTTATCATCTATCACTAGTCTATGGTAGTTATCATCTATCCCTTATCTATGGTAGTTATCATATATCACTAATCTATGGTAGTTATCATCTATCACTCATCTATGGTAATTATCATCTATCACTAATCTATGGTAGTTATCATCTATCACTTATCTATGGTAGTTATCATCTATCATTAATCTATGGTAGTTATCTATCACTAATCTATGGTAGTTATTACTAATCTATGGTAGTTATCATCTATCACTCATCTATGGTAGTTATTATCTATCACTTATCTATGGTAGTTGTAACTAATCTATGGTAATTATTATCTATCACTAATCTATGGTAGTTATTATCTATCACTTATCTATGGTAGTTGTAACTAATCTATGGTAGTTATCATCTATCTCTAATCTATGGTGGTTATCACTTATCTATGGTAGTTATCATCTATCTCTAATCTATGGTGGTTATCATCTATCTCTAATCTATGGTGGTTATCACTTATCTATGGTAGTTATCATCTATCACTAATCTATGGTAGTTATCTATCACTCATCTATGGTAGTTATCATCTATCACTAATCTATGGTAGTTATCATCTATCACTAATCTATGGTAGTTATTATCTATCATTAATCTATGGTAGTTATCTATGGTAGTTATTATCTATCATTAATCTATGGTAGTTATTACTAATCTATGGTAGTTGTTACTGATCTATGGTAGATATCATCTATCATTAATCTATGGTAGTTATCATCTATCACTCATCTATGGTAGTTATCATCTATCACTAATCTATGGTAGTTATTATCTATCATTAATCTATGGTAGTTATTACTAATCTATGGTAGGTGTTACTGATCTATGGTAGATATCATCTATCATTAATCTATGGTAGGTATCATCTATCACTCATCTATGGTAGGTATCTATCACTAATCTATGGTAGTTATTACTAATCTATGGTAGTTGTCATCTATCACTAATCTATGGAAGTTATCATCTATCACTCATCTATGGTAGTTATCATCTATCACTCATCTATGGTAGTTATCATCTATCACTAATCTATGGTAGTTATCATCTATTACTTATCTATGGTAGTTATCATCTATCATTAATCTATGGTAGTTATCATCTATCACTCATCTATGGTAGTTTTTACTAATCTATGGTAGTTATCATCTATCACTCATCTATGGTAGTTATTATCTATCACTAATCTATGGTAGTTATCATCTATCATTAATCTATGGTAGTTATCATCTATCATTCATCTATGGTAGTTATCATCTTTCATTAATTTATGGTAGTTATTATCTATCACTAATCTATGGTAGTTATCATCTATCGCTCATCTATGGTAGTTATCACCTATCCCTAATCTATGGTAGTTATCATCTATCATTAATCTATGGTAGTTATCCTCTATCCCCCATCTATGGTAGTTTTTACTAATCTATGGTAGATATCATCTATCACTCATCTATGGTAGTTATCATCTTTCATTAATCTATGGTAGTTATTATCTATCTATCATTAATCTATGGTAGTTATCTATCACTAATCAATGGTAGTTATCATCTATCACTCATCTATGGTAGTTATCATCTTTCATTAATCTATGGTAGTTATTATCTATCACTAATCTATGGTAGTTATTATCTATCATTAATCTATGGTAGTTATCATCTATCATTAATCTATGGTAGTTATCATCTATCACTAACTTATGGTAGTTATCACTTATCTATAGTAGCTCTAATCTATGGTTGTTATTTCTAATCAGTTATTTTGTGATACTGGTATTTATATGATATCTCATATAATCATTACCTGTACAAATGTTTCCCAGTAATTAGATGTTTACTAGCACAAGGTGTAAGCTGAACACCTGTACACAGTAATTAGATGTTTACTACCACAAGGTGTAAGCTGAACACCTGTACACAGTTATTAGATGTTTACTAGCACAAGGTGTAAGCTGAACACCAGTACACAGTAATTAGATGTTTACTACCACAAGGTGTAAGGTGAACACATGAACACAGTAATTAGATGTTTACTACCACAAGGTGTAAGGTGTACACCTGTACACAGTAATTAGTTGTTTACTACCACAAGCTGTAAGGTGAACACCTGTACACAGTAATTAGATGTTTACTACCAAAAGGTGTAAGGTGTACACCTGTACACAGTAATTAGATGTTTACTACTACAAGGTATAAGCTGAAGACCTGTACACAGTAATTAGATGTTTACTACCACAAGGTGTAAGGTGAACACATGAACACAGTAATTAGATGTTTACTACCACAAGGTGTGAGGTGAACACCTGTGCACAGTAATTAGATGTTTACTACCACAAGGTGTAAGGGGAACACCTGTACAAATGTTTCCCAGTAATTAGATGTTTACTACCACAAGGTGAGAGGTGAACACCTGTACACAATAATTAGATGTTTACTACCACAAGGTGTAAGCTGAACACCTGTACACAGCAATTAGATGTTTACTACCACAAGGTGTAAGGTGTACACCTGTACACGGTAATTAGTTGTTTACTACCACAAGGTGTAAGGTGAACGCCTGTACACAGTAATTAGATGTTTACTACCAAAAGGTGTAAGGTGTACACCTGTACACAGTAATTAGTTGTTTACTACCACAAGGTGTAAGGTGAACGCCTGTACACAGTAATTAGATGTTTACTACCAAAAGGTGTAAGGTGTACACCTGTACACAGTAATTAGATGTTTACTACTACAAGTTATAAGCTGAAGACCTGTACACAGTAATTAGATGTTTACTACCACAAGGTGTAAGGGGAACACCTGTACACAGTTATTAGATGTTTACTACCACAAGGTGTAAGGTGTACACCTGTACACAGTATTTAGTTGTTTACTACCACAAGGTGTAAGCTGAACACCTGTACACATTAATTAGATGTTTACTACCACAAGGTGTAAGCTGAACACCTGTACAAATGTTTCCCAGTAATTAGATGTTTACTACCACAAGGTGAGAGGTGAACACCTGTACACATTAATTAGATGTTTACTACCACAAGGTGTAAGCTGAACACCTGTACACAGTAATTAGATGTTTACTACCACAAGGTGTAAGGTGTACACCTGTACACAGTAATTAGTTGTTTTCTACCACAAGGGGTAAGCTGAACACCTGTGCACAGTAATTAGATGTTTACTACCACAAGATATAAGGTGTACACCTGTACAAATGTTTCCCAGTAATAAGATGTTTACTACCAAAAGGTGTAAGCTGAACACCTGTACACACCTGTTAATGTCTGACAATGTGACACAAATCTCAATCTGCCTGTACATTTGGATACCCAATGTTTAATATTTGCTACATTTCCTGATGTTAGCGTTACTTGAGAGCTTAGGGAAAAGCTGTCAAGTTGTGTGATACTTAGCTAGGGATGTGTGTCGTTCATTTTTCTCTGGGTGACCTTTCTCACCTGTTAACACAAGGTAAGTAAAAATTAAAGTCACCAGACCCTACCATCTTATCAGGCTTGAGTTTCCCGTGAGAAAATTTGCTGGACCGTGTGACAACAAACGCGCCTGTATAAGGTGGCTATGGTGTTTATGGAGAGGTAGGGACTGACCTTAGAAGGTTAATGGACTAGTCTTGGGCCCCTTTCTCTATCAATTCTTACACTACACATCATAATTACTGGTTTTTGGGTGCTGCCGAGTCAATTGTCCAGAAGGGGGGTTACTTGGATCAGTAGTCTGTCACTTTCTATAAGTGATGGTACCTGTCAGTAATACTGTCTATTACTGTAAGTTGATACCAATGCTCTCCACAGGCGACATCATTAAATACTATTTATCATGCATTCAGACCATGAAGCAACAGGTAAACTGGCTAATTTGGATATTTGGCAGGTAAAAAAAAATGAAATCATTTGGTGATGTTTAAACATGTGTTACAGTGTATGCGTCTCGGTATGTGTAGTACACATACATCGTCACCTCATGCTTTCATTACAAGGCCCATAAATCTTGTATAACTAATTATCCTGAGCCTGATGACAACGTGGGATAAATTCATATCTATCAATTATAACTATGTCAGCAATCGACTTTCAAAAATAATCCATTTTAACAGAAAAATATTCGTCAGCTTGCTATTCTTACTATTGACATACTGAATGTATTAAGGAATATATATATTGTTCTTCTGGTAATTATCGATTTTACTGACTGTAATTTATTATTGATTTTAAGTTGAAGTAGGTACAAATGAATTTAGAATCTTGTTGTCAGGTACATGTAGGTCTAATGTGTACTTTTAATTAATGAATGACAGATGATCAATTACCTTGACCTTTCACCTGTTTGAAAAGGTGTTGATCTTTCACCCAAATTGCCAATTAATCCAATGATCAAACTCCAGGTGTAACCCTGTAAGTGCTATTGTGCTTAACAGGAGATGTACCTCAAGTAAACTCGTATATAAAGTACAATTTAGTGTTTTACACTTTAAAAACAATATCAGAAAAAATCCCAAATGTTTCACAAGTAAATTTTTGAAATAAGTTTTGTCAAATTAGCAATGCAGCTTCTAAACAAAACCTATGAAAAGATAATAAGTTTAGATTGGATATTTGTTCTAAAGTACATCTTATCATACGATACCAAAGATGTTTTTTTTCTTTGAATGATTGCCAAATCCCTATAAAAACACTCCCATTGGTATTTAAACTAGACAGTTCTTGGCTAGCTGAGCGATAGTCCATTTACCTACAAAGTTCATTCATAAGTTTTGTGGCCTGTTGCCTGGCGGGTGTACACCAACCCCAGGATGTCCCTCAATTCTGGTTTGACATCCCCTCCTTCATAAGTAGGCATTTTATACCTCAGCAACGATAAGCAACAATCCCAGAATCCTTTCACCGAGGGTAATTCTAACGTGTTGTATTAAAAAAGGAATAAACATCGCTATTGTCCAATCCCACCTTTGGCATTCATTACTTAATGAATACATCAACCTGTCTTTAAGGGAAATTAAAAAATAAGAATTAAGGAAGTATGAAATGGAACGAAACATCAATATACTTTTGAGTTGAAGTGTTGGCTTGTTTAAAAGGTGTGAACTGCCAGCTGATGGGATGAACAGGAAGCCTAAGGAACACTATGGAAGTCATTATTGGGCAGGAAGCCTCCTCAAAATGACCTTGATTGACATGTATTATGTATACAGGTGCTAACCTGTCTATAAGGTGTTTATACCCGACATCACTGGTGTTTACACATACATGTATCAGTGCTCCCTAAACGGGGATTGACCCCATGGTCCCTATATATGTCTAATGTCTACTACAACATAGACAAATGGTCCCTGGAGTGGGGATCTGTGCCGCTCCCCTTTGATTCCACTCGTCACCTTGGTGTATCAATACACATACCAGTCCGCCCTCCAGATCTCTCCCATAGGTGTTCAAAATTCTGCTTAGCGGATCAGCAATCAATTGGGCGGATTGATTCCCTAGCGGTAGAGGAGAGCTCATGCCGGGAGATTGCCGGGAACACAGTGTTTGTTTTACCCTACAAGGAATTTATATAATTCTTATAACATCGAAAATCAATATGTTATACAAGATAAAAACCCATACAGTTAAGAAAATGCCCACTGAATTGTAAAATCTTACCCGGCATATCATCTTTCATGGTGAACATCCATTATGGAGTTTATACAGTTTATACAAAGGAAAAAAGTGAAGATGATATAAGTCCAGCTGAAATAGGAAATTAATAAAAGCTTGGTTTACTTTTGAAGATATGTACATTTATAAAACGTACAGGGGTGATATTTTGCACAGCAAAGACCAAACATTATTTACCGAGAGTGACTTCTGTGCGAATTCATTCCTGATCCGAGCAATGTGTTCCTCAATATCAGATTAGAATTTGTATCATAAAAGTTATGGTTGCCATTAGATTTAATTAGATTATGAACAAGTGAAAATCAGAAGTGGACAGTGATTTTTGTGGGCATGTATTTTGAAATTTATAGGAATATTTGTATTTCCAGTGTACCCCTATAGTGACAATTTTATGCCTTACCCTGATGTGAACGCTTATATATAGGGCCGGCCCCCTGTGTGACCAGTGTACCCCTCTACACCCACTGTTAATGTGAGATTATTATATTTGTTATATATTTCAGGTGTATGTATGGGTGGCAGGGCCCCTTGTGTGACCAGTGTAAATCTTACCCCGGCTGTGAACATGGATCCTGTAATGGCTCACCTTGGCAGTGTTTCTGTCATGTCAACTGGGGCGGCATCCTCTGTAACAAAGGTACTTGATTGACCAGTGGTCGGAATTACAACAATGTCATAATTGTGAGCAATATATACATCACATTGGGATTGAACTTAATTCATTTTCTCTTATGTATAATCAAAAGGTACTGGTACATTATAAAATTCTCAAAAAGCAGGAAAAAATATAATTTTAATTGTAATCAAACATCTCCAGAAGATTTCACAACCAGCGACTGCATCAGTAAGAATGTGAAGATTTAAAAATAATTGCCCAGAATAAAGAGGAAAAAAAAAAAGAATTTGTAATGTTGTATAATTAGTCAGATGGTAGAAAAAGTTTCCAAGTCCGAGTCGTTCAATGTAAAAAAAAAAAAATGCTTGTAACAACTTATCTTAAATGTGGTGATTTGATTTAATCATAATAAAACGTTTTTAGGCAATACGAGTTAGAGCAATGTGTTTTTAAATAGAAATGAATATTGAATTTGTGGGTTTTATGTGGTGTGGTGTAGTTATGTAACCACTCTGTGGCTGTGTATGGGATACCACTTGAGCTGTACGGTTTTGTGTCACCCAAAGTCTCCCCTGCTTCACACCAATTAATCATTCTCTGACATCTGAATAAAGACAATTATGCAAATCAAATTAGCAGAGATTCTAGTGCTGTAAGTTTCTACAGAATCTGTGTTCAAATTAAAGGAATTGACATAAATTTGTGGAAGCGTGGTATTAACTGATTGGCATGGTAACCAGATTTTATGGTGGCTGGATTTTATGAGGTGTCAACTGGCCCGATAAGGAGAAACTAGAATAAATTCCAATGAATTTTTGACGAATCTGCTTCTCCATCAGGCTATCACGTGACAAGTGTGGGTGGTAGACCATCCATGGGGGGCCCTCTCCAACGGACCGCGCTGATTGAATTTTGAAATATTTTTTCATCACATCAACTTTTGTTTTAGCTCATCTGAGAGAAAGTGATGAACTTCTTGTGATGTGCCCTAAGTGCGTGTCAGTGATAAAAGTTATTTTAGCTGTGGGTTGTAGTGGTCAGTGTTGAAATAAGAGTGACTAGTGAAATAGCCTGTACTGAATTAAAGATACATTTGTATTGTAAAGTGTTGAAAAGTAGGTTTCTGAAAGTGGAATGGTCAGTAATTAGTCTGTAAAAGATACTGACCAGTGCATTGTTATGGTCAGTATTGGAAGATGAGTATTTGTAGATTGAGTGGTCAGTTATTAGTATGTAGGAGACTCTGACCAGTGTAGCAGTCAGTACTGAGATTGTAGGATGTACTGGCCAGTGTATTATAATGGTCATTATTGAGTATCTTTCTAAGATACTGACCATTGTATTGTAGTGGTCAGTGGTGTTGAATATGTAGAACCTGACCTGGTACGGGCTGTACATATAGTGATCAAATCTGTTGTGTTTCGTCCCAAACAAACCTATTCTTAAATCTTTAATAAATCTGTTGAATCCTTAATAAATCTGTCGTGTCCCTAACATCCCATTTTCCACACTTCTGTAGACCTGAACTACTGCGGCCGCCACCACCCCTGTGAGAACAATAATAAATCTGTTGTGTCCCTTACATCCTATTTTCCACACTTCTGTAGACCTGAACTACTGCGGCCGCCACCACCCCTGTAAGAACAGTGGCATCTGTAAGAACACTGCTCCAGACAACTATGACTGTACCTGTCTTAGTGGCTTCTCAGGGGTCAACTGTGAAATAGGTAAGGTCATACATAATTTCCAGGTCAAGGTAAATGGTTGTAAAGGGTTTAATGTCCTATCAACAGCTAAGGTCATTAAAGGACGTAATTTCCAGGTCAAATGGTCATTCCTGATCATCAGTTGTGAAGAAGACTGCCATTTCCGTTTATCAATTTCAAAGTTCAAAAAGGTGACCATTTACCATTGATAAAACAATTGATTTAGTTTGACCGACCATTTACCATTGATAAAACAATTGATATAGTTTGACCAACCATTTACCATTGATAAAACAATTGATATAGTTTGACCAATATGATATGCTCTACCGTTTCTCTACAGCGGAGCATGCTTGTACATCTGACCCCTGTTCCCAGGGAGGACAATGTATTGATGTGACCGGTGGCTTTGTCTGTAATTGTCTGCCAGGCTGGACTGGTGTCCTGTGTGACTCGAGTAAGTATACTAAAGACAAAGGGTACAACTCTTCCCAGCAACTTATACATGTGGTGGAGGAACTGTTACCAGTAACTCGTACATGTGGTAGAGGAACTGTTACCAGTAACTCGTACATGTTGTGGAGGAACTGTTACCAGTAACTTGTACATGTGGTGGAGGAACTGTTACCAGTAACTCGTACATGTGGTGAAGAACTGTTACCAGTAACTCGTACATGTGGTGGAGGAACTGTTACCAGTAACTCGTATGTGTGCTTGACCCTCCTTTTCCCAGTGTATTTCTGTGAACCTCCAGTGTGCAGACAACTATAAAGCTAGTTTTAATAAGAAGCAGCAAACACTATTAAAAGACCAGCAACTTATCCGCCCCTTTCCCTTCCCACTGTATTAGTGTCTAAACCCTGTCCACTAGACTGGAACAAACTTTTTACCACAAAGCAGATCACTTTAATACTATCTTATTAGTTATGCATCTTCAATGCACGTCTGAATCTGTAAAGAAAGGAAGTAATCCATTTGTTTGCCTCTCCCTTCCTGGTCACAATGGCGGTGGACACACAGTGTCCACACTGTGATAACTGTCCTTTGACTGTCTGTCACACCTGTTGATAAACACACTTGGACATAAAGTGGTGTGAGCCTCTCAGCTTGACCATTACAGCTGTCGTCAAGTTGTATTGTGGCCTCCTTCTGTGCAAAGATTTCAACTCCTCCCAGTATTGAAAGATGAATAAAAATTACAAATGTTTTCAAGTACCATTGAAGTATTGCGACCTCAGTGGTACAGACACAGGTATAGCTATATAGGTGTATCAGCCAGGTAACAAACTCTCGGGTAACGAGGGGGTACTCGTCAACAGGTCCCGCCCTCGTCCGTTTGATCCGACCCGTTAATGCTGTGAACTTGTACAACTGTGGGATAGAAGATATTATATAAAAGTTTGGTGTGAGTTTAATGTGCTGGTAATATTGGAGTAGTTATCAACCTTTCAAACTTGAATACTTCAGAATCCGTGACTATCTCCCTGATGTTCATGGACTCCATTATACATGACCTCTGACCTTAGACAGTATGTCCCACCTCGACTGCCCTTTGTCATGATGCCTGTTTTTCTGATTATACATATTGACACATCAACATTAATTCTATGACAAGCATTGAGGCTGAATTCCTAAGGACTACTGTTTGAAACCCTGTCAGAATAAGAAGTCTTTGTCAATTTTACGGAATCTTGTGTAATTCATACGGCTGTAGACACATTGCCTGGGAAACAAGAATAAATCACGACAGTATATCAAGTGTTTTTATAGAATGTTAAAAGTGTAAAAACCCATGTTATGTAATGGGCTAACCGTGAAAATTGAAATAATTAAATCATTTCCTGTACATCTTTTTAAATACACTGTATGAAGTTTTGATATTGCAAAACCTATAAGTGAAAATTTGGTTTTATACCATCAAATTGTGCCTTGTGAGTATGAGACTGCTATGTTACAGACTGTTGTTTGAAAGCTAATGTTGGCTTGTCTTTGTAATTGACTTCAGACATAGTGTAGACATGGTAGATTGTAGTAACGGAACATCACAAGTTTGTATTAGCCTCTGTGTAGCCGCAATGTAACAATCAATTAGATAACAGGTGAAAAGAAAGTTGCCAATTTAGTTTTAGACATCACACTTTAATTAAATTATTCTACACTTCCCAATAATTTATATGTAGATAGGACTTATGACAGGTTTGCATGAGAAATATCAATGCCATTATGTTTAAATTGCTATGGAGCATGGTAAATCTCCTAGTCTGTCTATCCATCAGTAAAGCAGCATGTGCCATCCTCTACACATCATAGATCAGCGTCCCTCATACCTCTCTACTCTCAAAGTATTCCTGACAGTGAAGGCTAGCACCATGTTCTATTACTGGCATATATCATACATTCTGTCCTTATACATTTTGTACTTGTACAAGCTATATCAATCATATTTATAAAGCTTGCAATATTAAACCCCATAACATAGATACATGTACTGACTCATTACTTTTGATGCCTAATTGTGTTTATAAACCTTTCAAATTAACTGCTTTCACAATAATTACCAATAAGACAGTAGAATGTTTTCCTACGTATATCACTACTTGAACTATAATTACCAGTAAGACAGTAGAATGTTTCCTACGTATATCACTACTTGAAATATAATTACCAGTAAGACAGTAGAATGTTTTCCTCCGTATATCACTACTTGAACTATAATGACCAGTAAGACAGTAGAATGTTTCCTACGTATATCACTCCTTGAACTATAATTACCAGTAAGACAGTAAGACAGTAGAATGTTTCCTACGTATATCACTACTTGAAATATAATTACCAGTAAGACAGTAGAATGTTTCCTACGTATATCACTACTTGAACTGTAATTACCAGTAAGACAGTAGAATGTTTTCCTCCGTATATCACTACTTGAACTATAATGACCAGTAAGACAGTAGAATGTTTCCTACGTATATCACTCCTTGAACTATAATTACCAGTAAGACAGTAAGACAGTAGAATGTTTCCTACGTATATCACTACTTGAACTGTAATTACCAGTAAGACAGTAGAATGTTTTCCTCCGTATATCACTACTTGAACTATAATGACCAGTAAGACAGTAGAATGTTTCCTACGTATACCACTACTTGACCTATCATTCCCAGTAAGACAGTAGAATGTTTTCCTACGGATATCACTACTTGAACTATAATTACCAGTGAGACAGTAAAATGTTTTCCTACGTGTATCACTACTATGTACTGACTCATTACTTTTGATGCCTAATTGTGTTTATAAACCTTTCAAATTAACTGCTTTCACAATAATTACCAATAAGACAGTAGAATGTTTTCCTACGTACATCACTACTTGAACTATAATTACCAGTAAGACAGTAAGACAGTAGAATGTTTCCTACGTATATCACTTCTTGAACTATAATTACCAGTAAGACAGTAAGACAGTAGAATGTTTCCTACGTATATCACTCCTTGAACTATAATTACCAGTAAGACAGTAAGACACTAGAATGTTTTCCTACGTATATCACTACTTGGACTATAATTACCAGTAAGACAGTAGAATGTTCCCTACGTATACCACTACTTGAACTATAATTACCAGTAAGACAGTAAGACAGTAGAATGTTTCCTACGTATATCACTTCTTGAACTATAATTACCAGTAAGACAGTAAGACACTAGAATGTTTTCCTACGTATATCACTACTTGGACTATAATTACCAGTAAGACAGTAGAATGTTTCCTACGTATACCACTACTTTAACTATAATTACCAGTAAGACAGTAGAATGTTTTCCTCCGTATATCACTACTTGAACTATAATGACCAGTAAGACAGTAGAATGTTTCCTACGTATATCACTACTTGAAATATAATTACCAGTAAGACAGTAGAATGTTTCCTACGTATATCACTTCTTGAACTATAATTACCAGTAAGACAGTAAGACAGTAGAATGTTTCCTACGTATATCACTACTTGAAATATAATTACCAGTAAGACAGTAGAATGTTTCCTACGTATACCACTACTTGAACTATAATTACCAGTAAGACAGTAAGACAGTAGAATGTTTCCTACGTATATCACTTCTTGAACTATAATTACCAGTAAGACAGTAAGACAGTAGAATGTTTCCTACGTATACCACTACTTTAACTATAATTACCAGTAAGACAGTAGAATGGTTTCCTACGTATATCACTACTTGAACTATAATTCCCAGTGAGACAGTAGAATGTTTTCCTACGTGTATCACTACTTGAACTATAATTAAACTGTTTTCTTACAGACATTAATGAGTGTGCATCAGACCCATGTCAGCAAGGAGGGACCTGCCTGGACAGAATCAACAAGTACGAATGTCTGTGTCCACCGGGCTGGAAGGGGCCGCAATGTCAGTTGGATGGGGATGAATGTAGCGGAAGTCCCTGTGTGAACGCCTTCTCCTGCCAGGACCTGGTGGGCGACTATATCTGTGACTGTCAGCCCGGCTGGACCGGCAAGAACTGTGAGACAGGTCAGTTAACACACTGTAAATACTGTAAAAATATAAATGTCTTGTGAGGAGATTTTTATGTATTGACTAATTGTTATATGACTGGCATTGTTTGCTTCTACTATACCTCGGGAGAAACAAGCAGAAAGCGACGAGACAGGTCAAACCTACGAAAAACTATGTGAGACAGGTCAAATACACAAAACCTTCTGTCATATGGCAAATCTTTTACCATGATATTCTTAACTCTCGAGAACGAATCAAGAAAGAAGATATTCCCAAAAAGAGATGATCAATATTAAACTTGATAAAAAATAACATATTTTGTTGCAACACATTTAAAATGTCATCAATATCAAACTAGATAAAAAATAACATATTTTGTTGCAACACATTTAAAATGTCCTTTTGAATTTTTTACTGAATACTTGAGAAGGAAAGAAATAATTCTGATGTGATGGAACAGACTGGTTATAAGTATGGTGTTTTGTTGGTTACAGATATAGTGGATTGCCATCATCAGTGTCAGAATGGAGCTCACTGTGTGGTAAGTAGACAGAGGGGAGGTAACTCTTATTAAACATGGGGCATTACAGAGCACACACAAGTTGTGGGCATTATAACACAGATGTAATGCTATATGTTGTAGTGTAATAATCGCTGTCCGTTCAAGCAGTACACATCATTAAACATAACAATTTTAAGTTTTTCTTTTGTTAATATCATCTCTAGAATGTTAAATTTAATTCTTTTAAACAATTCTCAAAAATTAGTAAAACTCATTTCATATTGAAATGCTGTATTTTAGGATCTGGTAAACAGCTATCATTGCGCTTGTTTACCGGGGTACACCGGCCGCCACTGTGAGTGGGATATCGACGAATGTGAAAGCAGTCCCTGTCAGAATAGTGCCATCTGTCATGATCAGGTTGCAGGCTACACCTGCGAGTGTGCTCTCGGCTTCACCGGCTTTAACTGTCAGGTAAGTAGAGTATCTAAACAAAATAGAGCATCAAATATAGTATCACTAATTGTTTGAGTTTATATCAAATATAGTTAAACTTTATACTGTAACCATTAATCCAGCAAAATTTTGATATTTTAAAGAGTTTTGTGATATAAAATGGGAAAAGTGTAAAGGAATTGCTGAGAAAAATGAAAGAAAAGGGGACCTTTCAGGTTTCAGTGTGCATGTGTATCTCACAACACTTCTGAGAATGTTTCTTTAGAACTAACTATAAGTCATCAGTTAAGGTTTCATTTCGAAGGAATTATATAAGGTCAGTAAAATAGCTGTCTAGATGTAAAGATAGACCAATATCATTATGTTGTTTGTGTTTCAGGTTGATATTGACCCCTGCTACCCTAGTCCCTGTGAGAATGGAGCCAGCTGTTTTAATGTACAAGGAGACTACTATTGTCACTGTCATGATGGCTGGGAGGGCAAGAATTGTCACAAGGTCAAACCCACCTGTGACTCAAGGTCATGCCAAGGTAAACAAGAGATGCTAATCTTCACAATTTGTAAAATTATTCAACAGTGCTGTTAATACCATGTGAGGAAACAAAGTCATTAGTCAAAAGTTTATAATTTTATCTATAAAACAAGGTTGTTTATTAATAGGACAAGGATGTTTACCAATAATACGGCTGTACATAGATTGAGGTGCAGCACTTGTATAATTGAAGCACTGGGAGACGAGATGGGAAGGATGTGAATTAGTTAATAAAGGCCACTGTAATGGTGTGACATGTTTGTACTTATATATCCACAGTGATTGACAGCTGTACAATAGCTATCCCCTCCAACAGTAGTCGTGGCGGCGTGCAGCTCATCTCCTCCAACGTGTGTGGTAAACATGGCATGTGCATCAGCCAACCTAACGGCGAGTTCACCTGCGCATGTGACCTTGGCTTCACTGGAACCTACTGTCATGAGAGTAAGTCGACTGAAGTTCTGAAAGAAATTCTCTAATAATCTCACTCTTCATCCGAATGTCGTTTATGGTATCCTATCCCTAGAAAATGAGATGTTTCCTGTTTACTCCTGCTGGCTGAGGCATGATTTAAGAAATGATAAAATAGTTTTTGTCCAAATTTCAATGTATACCAGTATTTAAGTATATTGTGACATATATCTGCAGTTACCTGGATCTACAACATGAGTGTATATTGAAAGTCTTTGTTTGCTTTTCAGACATTAATGACTGTTTGAGTAACCCCTGTCAGAATGGAGGGACATGTATAGACATGGTCAGTTCCTACCAGTGTATATGTAAGGAGGGCTGGGAGGGCGCCCTCTGTAACCTGAGTAAGTATAGGCTACTATCTGTCACCTTACATCTGAGCTTTCTATGACGTCAGATCTATAAAGCTATCTGTGACACTAGATCTTGGATATCTGTGAACTCAGATCTTGGCTATTTTTGAACTCAAATCTGAGCTATCTGTGATCATAGATCATTGCTATCTGTAATCTCAGCTTTCTATAAACTCAGATCTAAGCTATCTTTGACATTAATTCTTGCCTATCTGTGACCTCAGATCTTGGCTCTCTGTGACCTCAGTATTTGGCTATCTGTGACCTCAGATTTTGGCTCTCTGTGACCTCAGATCTTGCCTATCTGTGACCTCAGATCTTGGCTCTCTGTGACCTCAGATCTTGCCTATCTGTGACCTCAGATCTTGGCTCTCTGTGACCTCAGATCTTGGCTCTCTGTGACCTCAGATCTCTGCTGTCTGTGACATCAATTGTACAGGTATAGAGACCTGACCATAAGAGACCATGATATGTTGTATAACATGACACATTGGTATTGGTTTCTGTGTACACAAGAACCTTGTCTAGGAATTTTTGTTTTCTGAGCATTGTGTAGAATAGAGTCTTTATTATTTTTGTATTATATTAAGATTTCTAGACTATGTGTAGTGGATACTTGTTTTTCAGACACATGTGAATTTCATTGTATACTAGAACTTTGTTTGTCCAGATACTTGGATTTCTGTAGGAAGCTCAGCAGTGTAAAACGTTTGGTTTCCCTAACTTGTTATTCACAGATAAGGATGAGTGTGACCCAAACCCGTGTAGAAATAACGGCTTCTGTATTGATGTGGTGGCTGACTTTGTGTGTCAGTGCTCCGCGGGCTGGAAAGGCAAAACATGCACACTGCGTAAGTATGCACAACATGTACTTTTGATTACACAGTTTTGTGTAGACATGCAACATTAGCTGATTATAAAACAGATGAAACAGAGTTTACATGGCTGTTGTATCCCTGGCGTTGTATGTTGTAGAACACAGTCAGTGTGAGGTCACCACCTGTACCAATGGGGGAAGCTGTATCGACCTTGGTGACACTTTCACATGTAAATGTGGTGCCGACTACATTGGCCGCACCTGTCAGAGACGTAAGTATAAAGATGGCTATGGCTATACGAAATCTTCTGTATCAGATGTTTGACTCTAAAATCTCCCTATGTTATCACCAACTGTCTAACACAACTACTGACATTGCCTCACACAAGTAAACAATCTTGCTGTGAAGATTTTGCAGACTGCTGTAGATTTCAAGTATGCCTTTGGTGCATAATACTTTTTTCGGTTCTTTCAAAATATGTTCTTGTTAAATTTGCACTTCATCAAGGATATCTTACATCTGGTATAGGTTATTGTTCCATTCCTAATGTCATTGTCAATTCTTATCAAAGTCATAAGTAAGAACTGAAAAAATAATGTCAATCATTACACATCCTTAGGGTCAGACCCATATTCTTCCATATAGATCTATACATCTGTCGCTTTAAACATACATTTTCTGTTATAGTTGCTAAACGAGCATGCGACTTGTTACCATGTGACAATGGAGGGACGTGTGTCAACAGTGGGGACAGTTTCACCTGTATCTGTAAGGAAGGCTTCGAGGGATCCACCTGTCAGTACAATATCAACGACTGCAACCCATTCCCTTGGTAAGCAGACCTATTTGGTGCAGGAAAAACTGTAACCCTTCACCTATGTGAGCAGATTCCTGGAAGTTCATAATCCAGGTATAAGTCTAGAGAAAGTTCATTCTCCAGGTATAAGTCTAGAGACAGTTCATACTCCAGGTATAAGTCTAGAGAAAGTCCATACTCCAGGTATAGGTCTAGAGAAAGTTCATACTCCAGGTATAAGTCTGGAGAAAGTTCATAATCCAGGTATAAGTCTAGAGAAAGTTCATACTCCAGGTATAAGTCTAGAGAAAGTTCATACTCCAGGTATAGGTCTAGAGAAAGGTCATACTCCAGGTATAAGTCTGGAGAAAGTTCATAATCCAGGCATAAGTCTAGAGAAAGTTCATACTCCAGGCATAAGTCTAGAGACAGTTCATACTCCAGGTATAAGGCTAGAGAAAGTTCATACTCCAGGTATAAGTCTGGAGAAAGTTCATAATCCAGGCATAAGTCTAGAGAAAGTTCATACTCCAGGGATAAGTCTAGAGACAGTTCATACTCCAGGTATAGGTCTCGAGAAAGTTCATACTCCAGGTATAAGTCTTGAGTTTCATACTCCAGGTATAAGTCTAGAGAAAGGTCATACTCCAGGAATTAGTCTAGAGAAAGTTTAACTCCAGGTATAGATCTAGAGAAAGTTCATACTCCAGGTATAAGTCTGGAGAAAGTTCATAATCCAGGCATAAGTCTAGAGAAAGTTCATACTCCAGGCATAAGTCTAGAGACAGTTCATACTCCAGGTATAAGGCTAGAGAAAGTTCATACTCCAGGTATAAGTCTAGATAAAGTTCATACTCCAGGTATTAGTCTAGAGAAAGTTCATACTCCAGGTATAATTCTAGAGACAGTTCATACTCCAGGTATAAGTCTAGAGAAAGTCCATACTCCAGGTATTAGTCTAGAGAAAGTTTAACTCCAGGTATAGATCTAGAGAAAGTTCATACTCCAGGTATAAGTCTGGAGAAAGTTCATATTCCAGGTATAAGTCTAGAGAAAGTTCATACCCCAGGTATAAGTCTAGAGTTTCATACTCCAGGTATAAATCTAGAGTTTCATACTCCAGGTATAAGTCTATAGAAAGTTCATACTCCAGGGATAAGTCTAGAGACAGTTCATACTCCAGGTATTAGTCTAGAGTTTCATACTCTAGGTATAAGTCTAGAGACAGTTCATACTCCAGGTATAGGTCTCGAGAAAGTTCATACTCCAGGTATAAGTCTTGAGTTTCATACGCCAGGTATAAGTCTAGAGTTTCATACTCCAGGTATAAATCTAGAGTTTCATACTCCAGGTATAAGTCTGTAGAAAGTTCATACTCCAGGTATAAGTCTAGCGAAAGTTCATACTCCAGGTATAAGTCTAGCGAAAGTTCATACTCCAGGTATAAGTCTAGCGAAAGTTCATACTCCAGGTATAAGTCTAGATAAAGTTCATACTCCAGGTATTAGTCTAGAGAAAGTTCATACTCCAGGTATTAGTCTAGAGAAAGTTCATACTCCAGGTATTAGTCTAGAGAGAAATGTAGTGGAGCCATTGGAATAAATTTGCTCAATCATTAATATTTTGATAGGAAATATAGTGATGAAATTTTAATAGAGATTGTAATGACGAAACTGATCCCTACAGCATTTGTAATAACAGGGGTAAATGGCTCCAAATCCCCTTTTGGAGTTATGCCTGCACTCCCTAAGTGCTGATGTAAACGACTGTTTGGGGTACGAAGTGAACTGATGCTCATTACGGGTTACATAGCGATACAAGATTGCAGACAGCATCATTTAATGAAAGGAGTAAATTGAAGTCGTCTTAATAATCAAGATTTTGGAGACAGTTAATTATTGTGATTGCATCTTATTTTGATGATAAAAGAGTTGATATATATTGTAGATTAATATCATTTAACAGTCAGGTGTGTACTTGTTACAGCTCAGGTATCTACATAAATCTCACACTTGTCAACCTATTTCATGGGTGAGAAACTGTGGCAATAAGTACTGTACTTACAATGATACCTGTATGACAAATAAAAAGAAATTTGGATTTGACCAAAAAACAAGATGTACAGAAATCAGCACATTTCAAAAATCAAAATGAGCTAGGAATATTTGGAGGGAGACTTAGTAAGCAAGCATACATCGTATAGATATGTTCCTTACTATTACAGTTACAATGGAGGGAAGTGTCTGGATGGGGTCAACTGGTACAGGTGTCGGTGTGCCCAGGGTTTCGCTGGACCTGACTGTCGTGTCAGTAAGTATATTGTGGAAGATGGAAAATCTGATATCCTATTCTGTCAAGCATAAAATTATCTAGAATCAAGTTATCTAAATGCTGCAATCTTTCTGGAGGTTTCAAATCTGTTCATTGTAAATCACATTGTGTTTCCCTCAGTGACAGTGACACCATGTGTTTCATTGTAAATCACATTGTGTTTCCCTCAGTGACAGTGACAGTTGCACTATGTGGTGAATTGTAAATCATACCTGCAACTGAAGATATTTTTACTTCCAAAATATTATCATACTCAATGCTTTTAACACATAACGTGGAAGTCTCACAACGACAGAGTAATGAATATCATAACTGTACTGAAAATGATGAAATACGTACAAACTAGGTAATAGGCTAGTGTTCCACTGTGTGATGCCATACAGAAGTTAAAATACATCGGAGAAAGTATTATGTAACCTAATGTAATCCTAATCCCGATCCTAAAAACCGTGTGATTTTGATCTTGCACAGAGAACAAACCTGTTATCATGCTCTGGTGCTCCTGAGGCTCGCAAGAAACCTTGAAAGTAGAAAAAGAGAAAAAATATTTCTCCCCAATTTTTTTACAGTAAAGACAAAATACGACGTTCACATGTTGTTAACTGTGATAGATAAATGTATGTAAATATAAAATGTGCAGGAATAATTTTGTTATCAGCTGTAAAAGTAACATTGATGAAAATGAAACGCAACAGAACAAAAACTGGTCCCAGGACCGTGAGAACCTGGACTACATTTCAGTGGAGGAGCTCACCTAAGTGATGTCGGGAAGGAGGGTGGGGAGAAGTTAACTACTAAAAAGCTGTATTATCAGAAATATGCGCTCACAGCTTATCGTGTATGTTGTAAGATAGCATCAGGAAGCTCTATCTGTAAAATGTTAAGTGTATGTATATGTGATTATTTGGTGTCCTTTATGGTGAAGTATATGATGCTTTAGTCCATTACATTTCTGTTCATCATTTTAAACCTGATTACTGATAATGTGAATTGTTAACACGTAGATTACATGTACGGTGAAAGATGTCTGCTATCTTACATGTTTGTATACAGATGCTGATGATTGGAGTTTCTTTAAAAACACAACATTTTTATAAATCACACCATACATGTACCTACCATACGTACGTGTCACTATTGAAGAGGATCTTGTTACTGTTATCTTCACAGATCTTTAATGATAAACAAGGTCTTAAGTGATAAATTAATAATTCTGTAAAAAAACATATCACAATCATTCTCAACCTTAGATTGTTACGACAATCAGGCCTCATTTATCATAATTGACATCATGAGGCTGTAGAGTATTTTAAATTGTGTTACAATGTAGTACTGACAGATGCTAGATTATGGTTTCTGAACAGAATTTAAGTTAGATAGAAATGCGTAGTTTCTGGACAAAACTTAGGTAGTGGGATAGGTGTGGTTTCTAAACAAATATTAGGTAGTGGGATAGGTGTGGTTTCTAAACAAAAATAAGGTTGTGGGATAGGTGTGATTTCTAAACAAAAATTAGGTAGTGGGATAGGTGTGGTTTCTAAACAAAAATTAGGTAGTGGGATAGGTGTGATTTCTGGAAAACTTAGGTAGTGGGATAGGTGTGGTTTGCCGTTTCTGGACAAAACTTAGGTAGTGGGATAGGTGTGGTTTCTGGACAAAATTGAATTAGATAGTGGGATAGGTGTGGTTTGCCGTTTCTGGACAAAACTTAGATAGTGGGATAGGTGTGGTTTCTGGACAAAATTGAATTAGATAGTGGGATAGGTGTCGTTTCCCAACAAAACTTTAGGTAGTGGGATAGGTGTGGTTTCTGGACAGAACTTTAATTACTGAGTAAGGTGTGATTTCTGACAGAACTTAAGGTAGTTGAGTTAGGTGTGGTTGCAGGATAGAAGAATTGGGTTGTGAGGTAGCACTTTGTAAAACAGGTGATAACAAGCATCATCATTTGAATTAAGTATCCCAAGGCACCTATACCATCTATTTTAGTTATTTAGTTAAAATACATTCGAAAGAATTTTTATTGTTTTAATGAGAGTAGGAAAAATTTCTTATTTTTAAAATGCTTATCTTGCAGCATGTGAATTATATTCCTGTAAATGTTAATATAATCTATATTAAGATAATCTATATTAAGGCTGTTTATGTTTCTCTTCAGATATAAACGAGTGTGCGTCTAGTCCTTGTACATATGGCAGTACGTGTATTGATGGTATTGGGGAGTACAAATGTATTTGTCCCCCGGGAAGGACCGGGCCTAAATGTGCTGAGGTGGAGGGTCAGACTCCATCTCCACAGTCTTGTATCTTTAACCGTGGTATTTACCCCGACAAGTCGTCCTGGGAACATGAGTGTAACATGTGTACGTGTGACAACGGAGCTGTCCACTGCAGCAAGGTAAGGCTTCCAGACTATAGGGCTGTAGTCAGGTGTATAATGAATAATATTACTAAAGATATTTATTAGTTTAAAATCAAACACCAAAAGACTGCTCATGAAGTGATGAACATATACAATGTAAACAGCAGTAAATTACACGTTGGATATTTGATTGCATTGACAGATCTGGTGTGGACCTAAAAACTGCCTGTCCCACCCGAATCTAACGGAAAGTGTAGTGCACTGTGGGCTGACCCAGACCTGTGTGGTACAGACGGACGACATCTGCTTCACCCCACCCTGTCTACCCTGGGGTCAGTGTAAAGATGTAGACAAGATCAAGGACCCCGCCCCCCAGGGCGTTCAGACCACCTGCATTCCAAACGCAGCACAGCTCAGCAACACTTGTGCAAAGATAGCATTAATATTCGACAAATCAAAAATGCCATCGGTTAGTACATACATCATGAAAAATTGGAGACATTTTATGCATATAATTAGCATAACACTTAATGATCAGTAAAATATTTGTACCTATCCATTCACACTTATTAGAACTAAAAGTTGTCTTCATGTCGTAGGTATGGTGAACACAGCTTCCTCTCAAAAAACAGATAAACAGTGTGTAAACCTCGGTTAAAACAGATAAACAGTGTGTAAACCTCAGTTAAAACAGAGAGTCAGTGTGTAAACCTCAGTTAAAACAGAGAAACAGTGTGTAAACCTCGGTTAAAACAGAGAAACAGTGTGTAAACCTCAGTTAAAACAGAGAGACAGTGTGTAAACCTCGGTTAAAACAGAAAAACAGCGTGTAAACCTCATTTAAAACAGAGAAACAGTGTGTAAACCTCAGTTAAAACAGAGAAACAGTGTGTAAACCTCAGTTAAAACAGAGAAACAGCGTGTAAACCTCAGTTAAGCAGAGAAACAGTGTGTAAACCTCAGTTAAAACAGAGAAACAGTGTGTAAACCTCGTTTAAAACAGAGAAACAGTGTGTAAACCTCGGTTAAAACAGAGAAACAGTGTGTAAACCTCGGTTAAAACAGAGAAACAGTGTGTAAACCTCAGTTAAAACAGAGAAACAGTGTGTAAACCTCAGTTAAAACAGAGAAACAGTGTGTAAACCTCGGTTAAAACAGAGAAACAGTGTGTAAACCTCAGTTAAAACAGAGAAACAGTGTGTAAACCTCAGTTAAAACAGAGAAACAGTGTGTAAACCTCGGTTAAAACAGAGAAACAGTGTGTAAATCTCGGTTAAAACAGAGAAACAGTGTGTAAACCTCGGTTAAAACAGAGAAATAGTGTGTAAACCTCAGTCAAAACAGAGAAACAGCATGTAAACCTCGGTTAAAACAGAGAAACAGTGCGTAAACCTCAGTTATAACAAGAGAAACAGTGTGTAAACCTCGGTTAAAACAGAGAAACAGTGTGTAAACCTCAGTTTAAACAGAGAAACAGTGTGTAAACCTCAGTTAAAACAGAGAAACAGTGTGTTAACCTCAGTTGAAACAACAGAGAAACAGTGTGTAAACCTCAGTTGAAACAGACAAACATTGTACATGTGTAAACCTCAGTTAATGCATGGTCAATGTTTGTCCTGAATTGTGTCAGCTAGCCTTTCCCGACGTGTCCTGACACACTACTTATTATTTCAGGGTATCACTGTGGAGACGATATGTGACAAGCTGCGACAGATACCAACCATTCAGAAGCTAGGCAAGGAGAAGCTTATTTACATAATGTGTGCTATCCAAACGGGACATCCAGACACCATTGAGGTGTTGCTGGTGAGTCTATTTTACATATCATGAGTCAATTATAAGTCAAAAAGGGTTGGTACCAATGTACGCAACTGCATAGACTTTGTAAACTTACTGATAATTTGTAAATGTTTTACTTTGAAGCGTTACATAACAGGATTGATTTATGAAAACATGTAATTCACAGTGTGTACCCTTTTATTACAGTCCACGGAACACACAGTGAAGACAGGTAATTCACAGATGGACCGAGTGTTGAAACATGCCCTGGACAATCTTACCAACACCATCAGTCACAAGCTGACCAATAGCAGTGCTCTGGCTGCCATCATAGAGGTCCAAATAGAGACCGCAGTCATTAAGGAGAAAGGAGTTCTAGGTACGTATACTACACTGTCCTTTTTTACGTCCACAAACATTTGTTCTGTTATGGTTACAAATACTTAAATAGTCTAGACAAAGACTGAGCATTATGCAGTAAGGAAAGGTTGTGTTCAGTAGGGTGGCGAAATATTGTATTCAGTACAGTGAGGGAATATTGTGTTCAGTAGGGTGGCGAAATATTGTATTCAGTACAGTGAGGGAATATTGTGTTCAGATGTATACATGTATTCAGTAATAGAAGTTTTGATTTGAATTTCATCTGATGACAATCTTATCATCACATTCTATGTAGCAAGGGAGGCAATCCAATGATGCACAATGTCCCGTTGAATTGAAAATATGTTGTATTAAAGGTTTTAGCATATTTGACCCCTGTGACCTTGAATATAAGTCAAGGTCATTCATTTAAATAAATTTGGTAGCCCTTTATCCCAGCATGTTACTGGCCAAATATCATCACCCTAGGCCTCTGGATATGTTAGCTATAATTTTTCCATTTAAGTTGGTAGCAGTATTTAATATTTTATATTTGACAAACTTCTCTGTGCAAGTTAGAAGCAGTATTAAATATTGCGTTGTTGTGTTTCAGGGTCAACCTACATTATTCCTGCGGTGTGCTCAGTGATCGGCCTTCTAGGTGTTGTCACAATCATTTGCCTTGTTGTGTTCCATTTCAAGAGACAGCGAGCAATAGAACGCACAAAACGAGAGGCAAAATATGTTGCTCAAAAGACTAATAACGAAAATGAAGTGAATCTTCGTCGCTACAGGAATCCCCTGTTTGCTGGAACAGACAAGGGTGGAGGGACAAAGGACTTGTCCTTCACAGAGCTACAAGAGTTAGATTTAGATAAAATAGAAAAAAGTCCAACGCGGCTGTTACGCCTGCAGGACTCCCCTAATGACTCCAATGATTGGAAGAAAACTAGTCCCATACAAAAAACAAAGACAAAAGACATTAATATAGAGCTGTCTAGGACACGGTCACTAGCTGTGAGGGCTGCCACTGAGCGAGACTTGGCCGAGATACATAGAACTTTTGGTGCAGATTTAAGTTCAGAAAGTGAAGTAATGGTGTGACATACCTTACATGGACAATAGTGATCTCCCTTGACTAGATACTCTGACTAGGTGGCGCCCCGCGCCATGAAGTGTTTACTAGATTCAGTTGGTGCAGAGATGAAGTGTATAGAAACTTCATGTGTTGATGTTTGTGGAATTATTCTGTCAATGTTGTCAGATATAGTGTAGTTCACATACACTCCAAGTGCTGTGTAGAAATTTTCACGAGGAAATTTCACAGAAAGTGCTCAAAAAGGAATGAATCTAAAGATGTGAAACTGAATGGTTACAAGCATAGAGGTGAAGGGGATTTTTGCTAGGAAAAGCTTAACTCAGGAAAATGTCAAATAAACTCTACCAAACTACACCAGGTGTGACCCTCCCAAGAGGAGGTTACCCTCGCCAGGAGCAATATCCCCAGTTACCATCCATCCATTTAACTTCATTGTGTTGAGAATCGGAGTCATTGAAAACCAATTGATGAACCCTTATGTATTTTTTTACAAAAAAAATGTCCAAGTTTTCTACAACATAAAGTGTCTATACGCACAGGAGGGATGTTGTGGTTCATCATATCGTCATAACCAATCACATAGATTCATTTCCATTGCACACATCAATGACTATTTCATTTAAAAGACACGCTCGACCAGAGAATTGGAGATCCATCTCATTTACCAACCATTGGCTCATTACCATATGATCAAAGCATTTGTATATTACTCATCGGACGTATCATAGCAATACCATGCCAACCTTGTGTAATCTTCCAGTGAGCGCCCACTTACACCAATTAATGCAGACCATGGGGATAGGACCGAACACTTAGCCTAGGGTTGATTCTAAATTTATTTTAATCTCCCTTTTTTACGTGGTTTAATGTTACATATATATATTTACATCATTTTGTAATTCGATAATAAAAATGTCTTCGTATACATTGAATAAAAGTTGATTACAGCCATTAATAATCTGACTGAAAACCATTTTATTCGGTACAACAAAGAATGTTTTTGTGGAGGAGGATCTTAAGATTGCATGAGAAAAACTTTTTTGATTTACCATTAACGTCACATTTCTTGTGTGAAGTGGAATTCACTGGAAAATTTGCTGTAAGAAATCTGGTCTCTCATTGGAAGATTTGCTGTATTAACACTGATCTCTCACTGGAAGATTTGCTGTAAGAATGCTGATCTCTAACTGGAAGATTTGCTGTAAGATGCTGATCTCTCACTGGAAGATTTGCAGTAAGAAAGCTGATCTCTCACTGGAAGATTTGCTGTAAGATGCTGATCTCTAACTGGAAGATTTTCTGTAAGAATGCTGATCTCTAACTGGAAGATTTGCTGTAAGAATGCTGATCTCTCACTGGAAGATTTGCAGTAAGAAAACTGATCTCTCACTGGAAGATTTGCAGTAAGAATGCTGATCTCTCATTGGAAGATTTGCTGTAAGAATGCTGATCTCTAACTGGAAGATTTGCAGTAAGAAAGCTGATCTCTCATTGGAAGATTTGCTGTAAGAATGCTGATCTCTCACTGGAAGATTTGCTGTAAGAATGCTGATCTTAAATTAAAAGATTTGCTGTAAGAAAGTGATCTCTCATTGGAGATTTGCTGTAAGAAAGTGATATCTCACTGTTAGATTTGCTGTAAGAAAGCTGATCTCTCACTGGAAGATTTGCTGTAAGAAAGCTGATCTCTCACTGGAGATTTGCTGTAAGAAAGCTGATCTCTCACTGGAGATTTGCTGTCAGAAAGTGATCTCTCACTGGAAGATCTACTGTAAGATACTGATCTCTCACTGGAAGATTTGCTATAAAAATGCTGATCTTTCATTAAAAGATTTGCTGTAAGAAGGCTGATCTCTTTCTAGAAGATCTGTACTAATACTGATCTTCTTACTTGACTTACACGAAATCAAGGATAAATCTAATGATATGATTACATGGCTGTATTTTTTTTGTTATTTATTATTGTAACTGTGTGTTGACATCTATTGACTAGTGCTGTGAATTGTAACTTGTAATCATTTGATATGTATATAATTTGTATATATATTATCTAATGTGCATTTGAAATTATTTAATGACATTTCTATGAAAAAAAATTAATTTAATTTATAATTTATATGAGAGAAAGTTTTATGAAATTTTTTGGTGAGGAAATTATCCAAATGTCACTGATTATGATAAATTCCATATATGGTCACTTACTGATCATTCATACCTTATATGGTCACGTACTTGATCATTCAAACCATATATGGTCATCATGTCTAAAATGTATCATTTGGCACACACAGCAAGTACCCAGCTAAACGAATTCAAAGGTTCAGTTTTTAATGTGAAAGCTATTTTGTGTAAGCCATGCATATCTATGTACAGGTGTATCTGCCATTACAACACTGTCTCAAACTTAACCCAAAGACCAAATCAAAGTCATTTCATCATATTCATCATCTCGTAATAGATTCGTGTATATGCTGTTACAGGATTTAAAAGTATCCAAGAGTCACGGATTTTATTTTTAAAACTGATCTGTTTAGAAATATAATCAAACCAGTTGGTCGTAGAGATTATTGTGTGAATGGGTATAAACTGTTCAGTGCAGCAGTGATTTGATCGCAGTAAACTGTTTTGTTAGGATATCTTTTTTTGTTTTAAACAAGTTATCATAGAGGTCAATACTTGGAGAAGTATTGTAAGAAATATAATACATTGACAACCCTAAAGGACTGGAATAATTCCATCATGTTCAAACATTGACTTTGTAAAGTCTAGATATATCTATCTCTTATGTACCTGTAATTCAGTGAAAAATGGATTTTGTTTATCGTTACGGTGCTGAAGATATGTGTGATCAGAATTATTGTGAATGTACAATGGCAGAAACATTATATACTGCACGCTGTTAATGTGTTAAGTAGTAGACTAGGTTTTCATGGCATGTCTCTGAGAAATTGGCAAAGAAATGGTGGCACAAGTCAGTATATATCTCCTTTTCTGAAATATTTGGCCATATTCATGTACAAGTACACAGGAAATAAGAGGAATTAATTCAACTTTTATAAGATGGCATCAAACAATAATGTTTTGATTATGGCATTAACACTTATATATTGTTTAGACATGCATAATCACTTATTCTCAAAATAAAAAATACATAATGTATTTGGTCCAAAGATGAAAATTCATAGTTATAAGTCCCTAAGTAAAATGCTGTTTTTGTTTACACTGTTTGGCCTTGTACTGGTATTGTACGGGGTAAGGGGTACTAATGACTGTTGTTTTGCTGTCCTCCTTGCTATGCGAGTCGTCTATGTGTCAGTGTTAGCGACCTGTACTGCTGTTGTACAGTCGTGTAGTACATTTTCTCATACCACCATTATTCATCATTGAACAAGAGAGATTCAAGTGTGAGGACAAGAAAGAGTGAAAGAGAGTGATGAACAAATGATATAAATGTAAAAGTACATTTTTTTTGAGAATTATTCTGTGTATTGTCATTACTTGAGCATCCAATATCCTGTATTGACAGGGAATAATGTGTTGGTGTATTGTTTGATCTCAAAGTCCCTGTACCAGACATGATGTAACTGGTGTGCAATATAGAACCTATAGTCCATGAAAAACAGCATAGTCCACAATATAAAATATATCAATCTACAATCGTTAAATATACCAGTCCCAAATCATAAAACACACCAGTCCCAAATCATAAAACACACCAGTCCCAAATCATAAAACACACCAGCCCACAATCACACAACACACAAGCCCACAATCATAAAAAACACCAGCCCACAATCATAAAACACACCAGCCCAGTCATAAAACACACCAGCCCAGTCATAAAACACACCAACCCAGTCATAAAACACACCAACCCACAATACACCAGCCCACAATCACAAAACACACCAGCCCACAATCACACAACACACCAGTCCACAGTCACACAACACACTAGCCCACAATCATACAACACACCAGCCCACAATCACACAACACACCAGCCCACAATCACACAACACATCAGCCCAGTCACACAACACACAAACCCACAATCACACAACACACCAGCCCACAATCACACAACACACCAGCCCACAACACACCAGCCCATAGTCACACAACACATCAGCCCACAGTCACACAACACACCAGCCCACAGTCATAAAACACACCAGTCCACAGTCACACAACACACCAGTCCACAGTCACACAACACACCAGCCCACAGTCACACAACACACCAGCCCACAATCATAAAACACACCAGCCCACAGTCACACAACACACCAGCCCAGTCATAAAACACACCAACCCACAATACACCAGCCCACAATCACACAACACACCAGCACACAATACACCAGCCCACAGTCACACAACACATCAGCCCACAGTCACACAAAACACCAGTCCCCAATCATAAAACACACCAGCCAACAATCACACAACACACTAGCCCACAGTCACACAACACACCAGCCCACAGTCATAAAACACACTAGCCCACAATCATAAAACACACCAACCCACAGTCACACAACACACTAGCCCACAATCATACAACACACCAACCCACAGTCACACAACACACCAGGCCACAGTCACACAACACACCAGCCCACAGTCACACAACACATCAGCCCACAGTCACACAAAACACCAGTCCCCAATCATAAAACACACCAGCCACCAATCACACAACACACCAGCCCACAGTCACACAACACACCAGTCCACAGTCATAAAACACACTAGCCCACAGTCACACAACACACCAGCCCACAGTCACACAACACACCAGTCCACAGTCATAAAACACACCAACCCACAGTCACACAACACACCAGGCCACAGTCACACAACACACCAGTCCCCAATCATAAAACACACCAGCCACCAATCACACAACACACCAGTCCACAGTCACAAAACACACCAGCTCACAGTCACACAACACACCAGTCCACAGTCATAAAACACACCAGCCCACAGTAAGATAAAGGTTTCAGTTTTGGAATACAAAGTTAGATAGGCTGGGTTCTGTACCAAGTTACACAGGTTAGGTTCAATGACTTTGAGTTGAATCAATTGAATCCCAACGGCCAAAGCAGCTTCATGTTCTGTGTCACAACCTGTCATCAACGTCATGACAAAAAACTCAAATAAAGCGTTTTATAAAGAATATTTACAGAGTTATTTATTACTATGTCTAATTATATGACACAAGTTTTAGTTTCACTGGTGTTGACAACATATCTTTTATCAAGAACAAAATATTCTAGATACCTGGGTTAGAAAACAAGGTATACATGTAATAACAACATGAGTACTGCAGTACGAAACATTTTACACCTCTCCCATACCACGTAGTATAAAGTTAACTCTCGCTGTATAACACCTCTCCCATACCACATGGTATAAAGTTAACTCTCGCTGTATAACACCTCTCCCATACCACGTAGTATAAAGTTAACTCTCACTGTATAACACCTCTCCCATACCACATGGTATAAAGTTAACTCTCGCTGTATAACACCTCTCCCATACCACGTAGTATAAAGTTAACTCTCGCTGTATAACACCTCTCCCATACCACGTAGTATAAAGTTAACTCTCGCTGTATAACACCTCTCCCATACCACGTAGTATAAAGTTAACTCTCGCTGTATAACACCTCTCCCATACCACGTAGTATAAAGTTAACTCTCGCTGTATAACACCTCTCCCATACCACGTAGTATAAAGTTAACTCTCGCTGTATAACACCTCTCCCATACCACGTAGTATAAAGTTAACTCTCGCTGTATAACACCTCTCCCATACCACGTAGTATAAAGTTAACTCTCGCTGTATAACACCTCTCCCATACCACGTAGTATAAAGTTAACTCTCGCTGTATAACACCTCTCCCATACCACGTAGTATAAAGTTAACTCTCGCTGTATAACACCTCTCCCATACCACGTAGTATAAAGTTAACTCTCGCTGTATAACACCTCTCCCATACCACGTAGTATAAAGTTAACTCTCGCTGTATAACACCTCTCCCATACCACGTAGTATAAAGTTAACTCTCGCTGTATAACACCTCTCCCATACCACGTAGTATAAAGTTAACTCTCGCTGTATAACACCTCTCCCATACCACGTAGTATAAAGTTAACTCTCGCTGTATAACACCTCTCCCATACCACGTAGTATAAAGTTAACTCTCGCTGTATAACACCTCTCCCATACCACGTAGTATAAAGTTAACTCTCGCTGTATAACACCTCTCCCATACCACGTAGTATAAAGTTAACTCTCGCTGTATAACACCTCTCCCATACCACGTAGTATAAAGTTAACTCTCGCTGTATAACACCTCTCCCATACCACGTAGTATAAAGTTAACTCTCGCTGTATAACACCTCTCCCATACCACGTAGTATAAAGTTAACTCTCGCTGTATAACACCTCTCCCATACCACGTAGTATAAAGTTAACTCTCGCTGTATAACACCTCTCCCATACCACGTAGTATAAAGTTAACTCTCGCTGTATAACACCTCTCCCATACCACGTAGTATAAAGTTAACTCTCGCTGTATAACACCTCTCCCATACCACGTAGTATAAAGTTAACTCTCGCTGTATAACACCTCTCCCATACCACGTAGTATAAAGTTAACTCTCGCTGTATAACACCTCTCCCATACCACGTAGTATAAAGTTAACTCTCGCTGTATAACACCTCTCCCATACCACGTAGTATAAAGTTAACTCTCGCTGTATAACACCTCTCCCATACCACGTAGTATAAAGTTAACTCTCGCTGTATAACACCTCTCCCATACCACGTAGTATAAAGTTAACTCTCGCTGTATAACACCTCTCCCATACCACGTAGTATAAAGTTAACTCTCGCTGTATAACACCTCTCCCATACCACGTAGTATAAAGTTAACTCTCGCTGTATAACACCTCTCCCATACCACGTAGTATAAAGTTAACTCTCGCTGTATAACACCTCTCCCATACCACGTAGTATAAAGTTAACTCTCGCTGTATAACACCTCTCCCATACCACGTAGTATAAAGTTAACTCTCGCTGTATAACACCTCTCCCATACCACGTAGTATAAAGTTAACTCTCGCTGTATAACACCTCTCCCATACCACGTAGTATAAAGTTAACTCTCGCTGTATAACACCTCTCCCATACCACGTAGTATAAAGTTAACTCTCGCTGTATAACACCTCTCCCATACCACGTAGTATAAAGTTAACTCTCGCTGTATAACACCTCTCCCATACCACGTAGTATAAAGTTAACTCTCGCTGTATAACACCTCTCCCATACCACGTAGTATAAAGTTAACTCTCGCTGTATAACACCTCTCCCATACCACGTAGTATAAAGTTAACTCTCGCTGTATAACACCTCTCCCATACCACGTAGTATAAAGTTAACTCTCGCTGTATAACACCTCTCCCATACCACGTAGTATAAAGTTAACTCTCGCTGTATAACACCTCTCCCATACCACGTAGTATAAAGTTAACTCTCGCTGTATAACACCTCTCCCATACCACGTAGTATAAAGTTAACTCTCGCTGTATAACACCTCTCCCATACCACGTAGTATAAAGTTAACTCTCGCTGTATAACACCTCTCCCATACCACGTAGTATAAAGTTAACTCTCGCTGTATAACAAAGGCACATACCGGTACTAAGAATCTAGGAGCGGAATTATTGAAATGCAACAAAAAAAGGAAACTACATTTATACTTCATTACTCAGTTAAGTTATTTGTAGGATGTGGAGAAAGGGGAAATATACAGAGTTCACTTCACAAGCTGAATGAATATATACAAGTCAGATATCCTTCAATGCCTTTGATTGTATGTAGATTGCCTCACTTGGCCCATATTTCAAACAAACTAAGAGTCCATGAGGACCTCCATATTTAAACAATCTTAGGCCTGGCAAAACATTCTTCTTAAAGAGTATTAAAATGTATGTCAAGGTCATTAATATGAGGAAAAGGTATAGCACTATATGCCTGGTACTTACTGGCAAAATATCAGGACTCTAGGCCTAATTGAACTTAAAAAGATTCTTGAACCATTTTACCAATCATAGCCAATGTTAATCATTGACTCAAGCCAGTGCTCAAAGTTGACCTTTGAACTTCACATAGTATGGTAGAAAAAGATTCACACTGCTGGTCTAGTACATTCCATATCCATGCGCCATTGCTCTAGATCTTTGGTTGGTTTAGAAAATTTTGTGTGTTCATCAAAGAAACAAGTTGACAGATGGATGGAAAGACAACAGATGACTGACGCTGCATGCCAACGTACCATAAACTCACAGGCACTTTGTGCCAGGTGAGCTAAACACTGATTGTATACATAGTGTCTCCCTTTGCCAATAATGCAGTTTATATGTGGATATCTGTCGATTTCAAACTTCGCCTTTGTCTTAGTATAAATGTTGACCAAGTTATAAGAATCCAATCACACATTGTGCTGAAACTGTCCAGCAGGCAGACCACATTTTGCTTACTTACTAAGCACACATCTAGGAATGGGCCATTATTTGTTCTGAGTTTCAGAAATCAAACACTGAACTCGATATGACCCAGGACTATAAAATGAATTCTGTATCAAAACTCTGACAATTGGTCAAAATAATGTTCGAGGTTTAATTCCAAACCATAATTAATACATTGACTTTTTGAAGTGTTGAAGCACGTCTAATGATCTCTATTTTGTGAGGTATAATATACTTCAGACATGAAGAGAGTCAATCCTCTTTAAGAATACATAGTATTAATACACCTCATTTATATAACAGTGTGTCTGATTGGATTACATTTATCACATGACGGAGATATAACACCGTGTTTCCCTCTCTTGATGAAAGTGCAATGTTCTTTTTCAAGGCTGACATCATACCAATCAACTACTGGACTAGCACAAACCATGTTAGTGTTACAGGCTGATGTTATCAGCACCACCTTGTCTTGTTTTAGTACAGCACCACCTTGTCTTGTTTTAGTACATCACCACTTTGTCTTATTTTAGTACATCACCACATTGTCTTATTTTAGTACATCACCACATTGTCTTGTTTTAGTACATCACCACTTTGTCTTGTTTTAGTACAGCACCACCTTGTCTTGTTTTAGTACAGCACCACCTTGTCTTGTTTTAGTACATCACCACCTTGTCTTGTTTTAGTACATCACCCCATTGTCTTGTTTTAGTACAGCACCACCATGTATTGTTTAAGTACAGTACCACTATGTTTTATTTTAGTACATCACCACCTTGTCTTGTTTTAGTACATCACCACCTTGTCTTGTTTTAGTACATCACCACATTGTCTTGTTTTAGTACATCACCACATTGTCACTTCTGTTAGTAACAGCACCACCTTGTCATGTGGTAGTACAGCACTACCTTGTCACTTCTGATAGTACAGCACCACCATGTCTTGTGATAGTACAGCACTACCTTATAACTTGTGATAGTACATCACCAACTTATAACTTGTGATAGTACAGCACCATCTTATAACTTGTGATAGTACAGCACCATCTTGTCCTGTGGTAGTACAGCAACACCTTGTAACTTGTGGTAGTACAGCACCACATTGTCACTTCTGATAGTAACAGCACCACCTTGTCATGTGGTAGTACAGCACTACCTTGTCACTTCTGATAGTACAGCACCACCATGTCTTGTGATAGTACAGCACTACCTTGTCACTTCTGATAGTATAGCACCACCATGTCTTGTGATAGTACAGCACTACCTTGTCACTTCTGATAGTACAGCACCACCATGTCTTGTGATAGTACAGCACTACCTTGTCACTTCTGATAGTATAGCACCACCATGTCTTGTGATAGTACAGCACTACCTTGTCACTTCTGATAGTACAGCACCACCATGTCTTGTGATAGTACAGCACTACCTTGTCACTTCTGATAGTACAGCACCACCATGTCTTGTGATAGTACAGCACTACCTTGTCACTTCTGATAGTATAGCACCACCATGTCTTGTGATAGTACAGCACCAACTTGTAACTTGTGGTAGTACAGCACCACCTTGTAACTTGTGATAGTAAAACACCACCTTGTAACTTGTGATGGTAAAGCACCACCTTTTAACTTGTGATAGTACAGCAAAACCATGTAACTTGTGATAGTACAGCACCACCTTGTAACTTGTGATAGTAAAGCACCACCTTGTAACTTGTGATAGTACAGCACCACCTTATAACTTGTGATAGTACAGTACCATCTTATAACTTGTGATAGTACAGCACCATCTTGTCCTGTGGTAGTACAGCAACACCTTGTAACTTGTGGTAGTAAAGCACCACCTTGTAACTTGTGATAGTACAGCACCACCTTGTAACTTGTGATAGTACAGCACCACCTTGTAACTTGTGATAGTACAGCACCACCTTGTAACTTGTGATAGTACAGCACCACCTTGTAACTTGTGATAGTACAGCACCACCTTGTAACTTGTGATAGTACAGCACCACCTTGTAACTTGTGATAGTACAGCACCACCTTGTAACTTGTGATAGTACAGCACCACCTTGTAACTTGTGATAGTACAGCACCACCTTGTAACTTGTGATAGTACAGCACCACCTTGTAACTTGTGATAGTACAGCACCACCTTGTAACTTGTGATAGTACAGCACCACCTTGTAACTTGTGATAGTACAGCACCACCTTATAACTTGTGATAGTACAGTACCATCTTATAACTTGTGATAGTACAGCACCATCTTGTCCTGTGGTAGTACAGCAACACCTTGTAACTTGTGGTAGTCAAGCACCACCTTGTAACTTGTGATAGTACAGCACCACCTTGTAACTTGTGATAGTACAGCACCACCTTGTAACTTGTGATAGTACAGCACCACCTTGTAACTTGTGATAGTACAGCACCACCTTGTAACTTGTGATAGTACAGCACCACCTTGTAACTTGTGATAGTAAAGCACCACCTTGTAACTTGTGATAGTACAGCACCACCTTATAACTTGTGATAGTACAGTACCATCTTATAACTTGTGGTAGTACATCACCAGATTGTCTTATGATAGTACAGCACCACCTTGTAACTTGTGATAGTACAGCATCACCTTGTCATTTTTAATAGCACAGCACCACATTGTCTTGTGATAGTACAGCACCACCTTGTTATGTGTGATAGTACAGCACCACCATGTCACTTGTGATAGTACAGCACCAACTTGTCTTGTGGTAGAACAGCACCACCTTGTAACTTCCGATAGTACAGCACCATCTTGTCATGTGATAGTACAGCAACACCTTGTCATGTGATAGTACAGCACCACCTTGGCATGTGATAGTACAGCACCACCTTGTAACTTCCGATAGAACAGCACCACCTTGTCTTTATCTGTTAATGATCTTCACCCTGGGACTTGTGAAAGAATGTTTTGTATCCAGATGGATGAAAGCATGGCAACAACATGTCCAAGCACTACTGACATGATGCAAGTGGAAACATGGCAGCCTGGACTGAGAACTGAAAAAAAGAGAATTAAATAAATATCACTTCACCTCTTCTTCAAACTAGTCACAGCCGTACTACAACCTAAACTTTGCTTACCTGTAATACAATCTAACATCACCTGTAATACAATCTAAACATCACCTGTAATACAATCTAAACATCACCTATAATACAATCTAACATCACCTGTAATACAATCTAACCATCATCTGTAATACAATCTAAACATCACCTATAATACAATCTATCATCACCTGTAATACAATCTAACATCACCTGTAATACAATCTAACATCACCTGTAATACAATCTAAACCTCACCTGTAATACAATCTAAACTTAACATGTAATACAATCTAAACTTAACCTGTAATACAATCTAAACCTTACCTGTAATACAATCTAAACCTCACCTGTAATACAATCTAAAATCACCTGTAATACAATCTAATATCACCTGTAATACAATCTAACATCACCTGTAATACAATCTGTACATGTAATTTTATCTAAATGTCACCTGAAACACAATCTAGCCTTCATATAACCAGTACATACAGTTAGAATTGTATCAAAAATTCTTAAGACAGAGGTTAAAACAAGATTGTAGTTTACATATGTGTAAGTTCACAGGATGGATGAGTTCCTTACAATGCATCAATGAATACCATTTTATACCTCAGTAGCAGAATACTAGAATAGGCTTTGTAACTTAGGCAAAGCAAACCAAAAGCCAAAAATCTATCAACAAGACTGGAAACATTACCTTTGTTACAAATACTCAGATTTGGAGGGTGAGATATGTGTAAAGGTTGATTACCAGGAAATGTCAGTGTTGGTTGGTGAGATATGTGCAAAGGTTGATTACCAGGTAATGTCAGTGTTGGTGGGGGAGATATGTGTAAAGGTTAATTACCATGTAATGTCAGTGTTGGTGGGTGAGATATGGGTAAAGGTTGATTACCAGGTAATGTTAGTGTTGGTGGGTGAGATATGTGTAAAGGTTGATTACCAGGAAATGTCAGTGTTGGTGGGTGAGATATGTGCAAAGGTTAATTACCATGTAATGTCAGTGTTGGTGGGTGAGATATGTGCAAAGATTGATTACCAGGTAATGTCAGTGTTGGTGGGTGAGTGATGTGTAAAGGTTGATTACCAGGTAATATCAGCGTTGGTGGGCGAGATATGTGTAAAGGTTGATTACCAGGTTATGTCAGTGTTGGTGGGGGAGATATGTGTAAAGGTTGATTACCAGGAAATGTCAGTGTTGGTGGGTGAGATATGTGCAAAGATTGATTACCAGGTAATGTCAGTGTTGGTGGGTGAGATATGGGTAAAGGTTGATTACCAGGTAATGTTAGTGTTGGTGGGGGAGATATGTGTAAAGGTTAATTACCATGTAATGTCAGTGTTGGTGGGTTAGATATGTGTAAAGGTTGATTACCAGGTAATGTCGGTGTTGGTGGGTGAGTTATGTGTAAAGGTTGATTACCAGGAAATATCAGTGTTGGTGGGCGAGATATGTGAAAAGGTTGATTACCAGGTAATGTCAGTGTTGGTGGGTGAGTTATGTGTAAAGGTTGATTACCAGGTAATATCAGTGTTGGTGGGCGAGATATGTGTAAAGGTTGATTACCAGGTAATGTCAGTGTTGGTGGGTGAGATATGTGTAAAGGTTGATTACCAGGTAATGTCAGTGTTGGTTGGTGAGATATGTGTAAAGGTTGATCACCAGGTAATGTCAGTGTTGGTGGGTGAGATATGTGTAAAGGTTGATTACCAGGTAATGTCAGTGTTGGTGGGTGAGATATGTGTAAATGTTGATTACCAGGTAATGTCAGTGTTGATGGGGGAGATATGTGCAAAGGTTTATTACCAGGTTATGTCAGTGTTGGTGGGTGAGATATGTGTAAAGGTTGATTACCAGGTAATGTCAGTGTTGATGGTGGAGATATGTGCAAAGGTTTATTACCAGGTTATGTCAGTGTTGGTGGGGGAGATATGTGTAAAGGTTGATTTCCAGGTAATGTCAGTGTTGGTGGGGGAGATATGTGCAAAGGTTGATTACCAGGTAATGTCAGTGCCATACTTCAGGAGAAATAGCCTAATGACAACCTGATTTGGTTATGAGGGGTATAAATTGTAATGTAGTGGTATTTTAGGGTGCAATATAACATGGACTGTTACCTCTGATGGCTTGGATATTGGCGGCACATACAAACATTCGACTAAGAGAAACATAGATAAGGCTGTAGTTCGTCCCCCACAGAACTGCAGGTATCACAAGGATTTTACCAAAGTTTGACAGCAGCACTCCACGCATCAGCTCTCCTGGCCTGTAAAACACAACAATACAATGCAATAGGTAAGTTATTGTAAGGAACAGATCTGTGTCCTGAACATTTTATTTGGAACAATATGTATGTTTGAAGAAGATAGTTGATGATATAAGAAAAGTCTTACCTGCATTTCTCAGTAGAAATTGTCCTGATGCATACAATGATTATCAAAATGGTAATGAATAACTCTGTAACGACAGGAAAGAGACTTTAGTTAAACACTCACATTATAATGGCCATACAATATGTTAAGATTATTTGTTTACTTCATCCAAATATCATGAGCTTGGAATAATGGCTTAAATAAAGCATAAGGCTAATGTGTTACCTATTACTATTAGCCTGCAGTGTTACCTATTAATGCTAGGCTAATGTGTTATCTATTACTATTAGACTGAAGTGTTACGTATTAATGCCAGGCTAATGTGTTACCTATTACTATTGGGCTGAAGTGTTACTTATTAATGCCAGGCTAATGTGGTAACTACCTCTTTACTATTAGCCTGAAGTGTTACCTATTAATGCCAGACCAATGTGTTACCTAGTACTATTAGCCTGCAGTGTTACCTATTAATGCTAGGCTAATGTTTTATCTATTACTATTAGACTGAAGTGTTACTTATTGATGCCAGGCTAATGTGTTACCTATTACTATTAGCCTTAAGTGTTACGTATTAGTGCCAGGCTAATGTGTTATCTATTACTATTAGACTGAAGTGTAACTTATTAATGCCAGGCTAATGTGGTAACTACCTATTTACTATTAGCCTGAAGTGTTACCTATTAATGCCAGACCAATGTGTTACCTAGTACTATTAGCCTGCAGTGTTACCTATTAATGCCAGGCTAATGTGTTATCTATTACTATCAGCCTGCAGTGTTACCTATTAATGCCAGACCAATGTGTTACCTAGTACTATTAGCCTGCAGTGTTACCTACTAATGCCAGGCTAATGTGTTACCTATTACTATTAGCCTTAAGTGTTATGTATTAGTGCCAGTCTAATGTGTTATCTATTACTATCAGCCTGCAGTGTTACCTATTAATGCCAGGCTAATGTGTTACCTATTACTATTAGCCTGAAGTGTTACCTATTAATGCAAGGCTAATGTGTTACCTATTACTATTAGCCTTAAGTGTTACGTATTAATGCCAGTCTAATGTGTTATCTATTACTATTAGACTGAAGTGTTACCTATTAATGCCAGGCTAATGTGTTACCTATTACTATTAGTCTGAAGTGTTACCTATTAATGCAAGGCTAATGTGTTACCTAGTACTATTAGACTGAAGTGTTACCGATTAATGTTAGGCTAATGTATTACCTATTACTATTAGCCTGAAGTGTTACCTATTAATGCTAGGCTGAAATTTTACCTTTTGACAGTAGGCTGAAGTGTTACCGATTAATGTTAGGCTAATGTGTTACCTATTACCATTAGGCTGAAATGTTACCTTTAAACAATTGGCTAATGTGTTACCTATTAGCACTAGACTGAAGTGTTACCTATTAGAACTAGGCTGAAATGTTATATTATAACACTAGGCTGACTTTTTACCTATTAATGCTAGACTGAAGTTAATATAAAGCCCCCATTCTAAGGCAGAGTAGATCATGTAATCAGGCCGCAGGTAAGACTCTGTACTGTGTGGTCGCCCCAGCAACAGTTTTGTAAAAGCATCACAGAGTAGTAGGATGGCCACTAACTTCCAGTGTCCCTGAAACAATCAATAACCACAGCTAGCTTAGGTCAGAAGGTGTTTGTTATGGCAGGTAGTCAATATAGTAGTAACTAGGTTACTGTCAGGTTATCCAAGTATAACTGGATACTATGAGGAAAATATCATTATATGGTTATCATATAAACTGAATAATCAAGGAATGGACTGTATATTCAGAATATACTGAAACAGACAAACAAGTTTTAAATACTGGAAACAGACTCATACAGAAACAGTTAAAACATATTCATACAGAAACAGTTAAAACAGGCTCATACAAAATAGTTAAAACATGTTCATACAGAAACAGTTAAACAACAAGTAAAACAAGTTAACCAATATTTTGATAATAAAGAACATAAAAAAGATACAAGATAACATTCTGTAATATCATTAACGGTTCTCGTTTTTTGTTTTCACAAGATTTAACTAACTAGGTGTAGTCATTTCCTAATGCCTTACCTGAGTTTTTCTATTGTACAAAACATGGCGGAAGGCTTGCTGTTTTAACAGCAAAAAATCCAAACAAATGATCACTGGCTCTGACTCAATGTATTTATCCACAACCTTCTGGCAATGTTTCTGAAACAACAATTATTGATAAAATTCTAAATTGATCAGTAAAATAAATTTTGTTATTTCTGTAGAGTCCTTGACATCAAAATGAACACAGTTTCTGTTTGTATTCTTTTTTTATACTTATGTTCAGTTTGTCGGAATAATAGTTTTTAATAGCTAATGTTAAATGTTTTTTAAATATCCGACGTTAAATAAAGTTTTTGTTGAGCATTTCCATTTATTCAAATTAATAACAGTTGGTGGTCTTTTAAATTATCTCTATGCGAGCTCATTTCCGTTGGTTAAAAGACATAACATCATTGGATATGACAATATTTACAGCAAATAACTCAGATAAAATAAGTGTCAATATGGTGTTTTCTCTGGCTCCATCGCCAGACATTCTGCATCTGGCGGAAAGATGTCTCTGTGTTGGGCACACCAGACATCTAGCTGTGAGAATGTCTCCAGTCCAGCTAGTGTTGGAGCCAGAGGAAAATCGGACTGGATGTTAAGTAAAATCAAAAATAAATTCCTTGCTTTAGTTTACAGGTTTCATGAGTCTGGATCAGTGGATAACTAGTTAACGCCGTCACAGCACAGACGCCTGCATCTGGTATTTTTAGATGTGAAAATAGCTGCCTACCCTTCTATATAGTAGGGTCCTAACCTGCAGGCTATTTGAAAAATTCCTGTATTTATATATATATCCGGGGTACAGTACAGTTGCAGGCGTCTGTGGTTACAGTAAGGATATTGAATGTTCGATTTCCTCACGCAATGCTCAATCTTGATAATTCCGGAATTGAAATCACGATAAAGTTGGTCAGTCTTGTTTCCGCAGCTAATACACTTGAATTCGCGAGCACTCGCAGCTAAGTCTACTTGGTCGGTCATATTCGCAACCTCTACTTTCACTTTTCGACCCGGAAATAACTGGTAGAAAGCAACAGTTGAAACCGGATTAGAGTGGTATGTACTTCCGGTTGCTTAAACGACCATGCAGTCCGTGGAAGACAGGGGGAAAACTCATCCAAGGTAAATATTGACTGTGTATGATTGACTTAAACAAACTTGGACTTTAAAATGTTTTAGAATTACATTAACAAATTAACTTAAACAGTTGTATACATACCATTTTTTCACGGCTTGTCACCTACTGTAAGCTAAAATAGTCGCATGAACCACAGGGTCACGTTACAAATGTCTGAAATACACATATGCTATACGGATACGGGTCACAGAACTTTAGAAGCAACATAAAAAATAAAATAAAAAAACGAAATGGATAAATTCATAATTTTCGCGATCTACCTTTCTTTTTATGTTCGGTAGAAAATTTTAAAATGTCTGAAAAGTTCTTACAATGGCTCCCTGTTTGACAAAATAAAAAATGTAATTGGTTGTAGGTGTTTAGTTAATTAAACTTGAGCAAAAAGCAAGATGTAAAAACTGAGGATGATGATCTCCTATGAAACCTAACAATGCATATGTTTTCCGTTCGTTTGCAGGTCAAAGTCAGCTGAACTGAAGGACCTTATTGACCAAGAAGAGTTCACCCTCCGAAAACGTCTGCCACGAAAATTACCAAAACGCAAGAATGATGTGTATGTTAGTCGGAAGACAGACTTCAAAAGTCAGCTTGAAAGATGTAAAAAGATACTGGACTTGGAAAATGAAGTTTTTATTCACGGTTTAGGTGCAGCAATAACCAGAGCTTCAAATCTGGCATTAACACTTGAGTTAACAGGCCGAGGCAGTCTGTCGACTGCTGTTCATACCTCCACTGTAGAACTTGTGGACGATCTGGAACCAGATAAGGAGGACAATGAGCCAGACACATTTTCACGAAACAATTCTGCAATTCATATAAAAGTCTACAAAGTCCAAAGTGCTTTATTAGTGACATCAGGTGAAGATTCTTCTCACCGATGATTGTGATGTGTGTGATAATCATCATTCTCTGCAATGGACAAGAAGTTTTGTCAAAACATTAGTAAGACATGAGACATCATTTTGACAGCCCACTTGTCACTGATAGTGATGGTGACTTGGAAACCATTATTTTTAGTTTTTCTTCATAAACTAATTAATCTTTCACTAATAATAATATCATCTGTGGTTTTTATGTTTTGCTGCATACCCAATGTATTAGTTATATACTGGTGTTTATCACCAGACTGTATTGATTATTACAATGCATAATGATCAAACTAAAATTGGACCTCTCAAAGTAGTTTTGTAATCTGTGCTTTGAGAGACATAGGTTATGAAGCAGTTTTCAGAGGTCTGATTTTAATTAAATTGATACTGTGGATCATTTCTCAATTAAAATATTTACTGTAACTGTTCAAAGGGAAAAATATGACTATTACATTGAGCAGACATTTTGTTGTTGGAACAGTAACAGATATGACATCATCAGCAAGCTTAAAGTTGTTATTTTTTATGGATTATTTTGACAATAGGTTTTCAATATAGTTTTTGGCTATTATGCCATGATAGACATTTTTTTAATTATATTATATTAAAAAAAATGACTGCATTGTTTGGAATGGTCCTATTTGTAATCTAACATCTGATTATCTGATCGGTCGAAGTTGATTGCCAATAAAATTATAGCACAATGTCAATGTTGTGTCGTGTTCAATTTTTTGGGGTGTTTTTTTTCAGAAATGAATAAAGCTCTACTAACGATGCACTTAAAGATGTTGTCATCCTTTTTATATTCAATCTTAAGGAATAACCAGTATTATTTTTTGTTAATAAAATATTAAAAACCAAAAGATCTGCACAGTTTTGTGCATTGACCACTGCACAGAGACTTATTTTGACCCTTTAGTAAAGGCCTCTTATGTGTATAAAAGTTCATACAGCACAACCAGTAAATGTTATAAGGTGTGACATTTTAATGATTAGTGCAAAATGTACTGTCAAGGTTACGATTTGGAAACTATCAAATTGCCATCAATTTGGCTTAATCATAATGCTATAAGGGTATGAACTCCTTATCTCAATTTGAAACTGGCCCTCTCCACCAACACATAAACATTTACTGTGTGATATGAACTACCAAACTGAAGAAAACAGTTAGAAAAAAGGCAAAAAATTAAATGCAATGAAAGAATTAGACATTAAAAATGTATTATGTCCCCGAATCATTAGGGAAAATATTATGGTTTGTTCAGTTTCGTTCCACTCGTTCATAAAAACAATCCGGATTTACTCTCGTTTATTAGAATATCCAATATGGCGACCCCCATGTGTAGCGTTGTAAAGCCGGCAATGCTACTCAAGGTTGTAGCAGAAAGAAGATCGTCTTCGTGATATTCTTGTATGTAACACAGATATATGTCTATAGATAACTTACCTTTTCAATGCATGCTCTCATTTTGATACATTTTATGGCATATTTGGGAGTCTTTTTCTAGTCGGAACTTTAATTTACATAAGAGATCATCACGGGCGCTCGATATGGGGCTCTAAAAATAATATTGTTCTATAAAAACTGAGAATAGTGGGGAAAGACAAAAATCATCCATGATTTCTTACAAAGCTAAAGGTTTTTCAAAGATCATTTACAATACCTCGATATCGAATACCTATGATCTTCGTACATGTCTTACGGCAGTTACGCAACGGATTTACTTAGACGTAGCGTTACATTTTACATTTACATCGGATACGTCGTAGTTACCAATAATGGCGTGACACGACGGGAGAGAGAATATGTTACTTATCTCGGCTGTTTTTTCGAAAGGGCTGATCTAAATCCCACTACGCTTTCTGCGCACACTACTACATCATCCAGTTGGTTCCACTCAAGCGGTGTTTTGATGAAGAAGGAGATCTTGTATGCTTCCTGTTTGTATCCTGGGATGATTAATGGCCTTGAGTTGTTGACAATGTTCCTGTTTAATGTTGCTGATGTTTCATAGTTCTCATAACGCTTTGTGTTTGTTTTTCGCGTCCTTCCAGAGTGCTGGATTATCTGATCTGGGGGTAAGCTGGTATTAACCCCTCAACTACTTTGCACATGAATACTAGTCACTGTGATTTCCTTGTGTTTTGTAGGGTTGGCAGTTTTAGGTGTTGTAGGATTTTTGTGACACATCCTTCATCCCGACTTTTGTAATTTTTAGTAATTAGGCGAGCTGCTCTTCTTTGTATTCTCTCTATTTTTTTCAATGTCTGATTTTAGATGAGGGTCCCAAATAATACTGCCATAGTCCAGAATTGATCTAACAAGTGATATATATGCTGTTTTCTTACACTCTTTTGGGCAGTGATATAAATTACTTCTCAAAAAGCCTAAAGTTGAGCTCGCTTTCCTCACGATGATCCTTATATGAGTACTCCATTTGAGGTCGTTTGATTTCTGGAGTCCTAGGTATGGATTGTTCTGTACCTCTTCCAAAATGTGGTTAGTCAGACTAGAATTTTGATGACTTTTTCCTAATTGACATGATGTAGCATTGTTTGGCATTAAATTTCATGCCCCATTTATCTGCCCATTCTTAAAGGTTTTGTAGGTCATTTTGGAGGATGTTAATTATGGTCATTGAATGTTTTTGTAACAGAGCGCATGATTAATTAAATATGAATCACTACCTCCGCATGGGATCGAACCCGGGACCTCTGGCTTACTAGTCTAACGCTCAACCGATCGAGCTAAAGAGAAGTTCTCTATAGCCGAGCGATATATTGCGGCTAGTATCACCAGGGTTACATACCCCCCTTCCAGGAAAGAACTCGTCCTCGAGTTTTTCCAGGGGTAACAGCGATGCTTGTGGAGCAAGGCCGAGTATTTTTCCCGGGTCCCTACGTGGGCGCCAATGTAACGGAGCGCATGATTAATTAAATATAAATCACTGCCTCCGCATGGGATTCAACCCGGGACCTCTGGCTTACTAGTCTAACGCTCAACCGATCGAGCTAAAGAGAAGTTCTCTATAGCCGAGCGATATATTGCGGCTAGTATTTACCAGGGTTACATACTCCCCCTTCCAGGAAAGAACTCGTCCTCGAGTTTTTCCAGGGGTAACAGCGATGCTTGTGGAGCAAGGCCGAGTATTTTTCCCGGGTCCCTACGTGGGCGCCAATGTAACAGAGCGCATGATTAATTAAAATTACTACCTCCGCATGGGATCGAACCCGGGACCTCTGGCTTACTAGTCTAACGCTCAACCGATCGAGCTAAAGAGAAGTTCTCTATAGCCGAGCGATATATTGCGGCTAGTATTTTACCAGGGTTACATTCGTTCTTATTGTATGTGATGGAATTGGTTAACACAGGATCATGTTTTCCTGTCATGATTTTAACAAGTTCTATCATTTGATATCTCCTCTGATATGTCTGTAAGCTAAGAGGCATCAAAACAAGCTGTAATTAATTTCAGCTTTCCAAATATGTCCGACCTAAGAGAAACCTATGAGAAACCTAATTTTGGGAGCTGCAAGAGTTTAAATCTCTCTGGATAGGATAGGGCTGCCATTCCTGGTATTAATTTAGTGGTTCTTCTCTGGATGATTTCAATTGCGTCCATTTTTTTTTTACTAGATGGCATAGATGCGAGCACTTGGTCGCAATATTCTAAATGAGGTCTTACAAGTCCTTTTTATAGAGAGCTCTATATTCAATCGTTCTTCCAATCGCCCTCATACCGGTTACTGAATTGACCTAAAAAAAAAAAAAATCAGATGGAGCATTTCTATAAATTGAAGTTTGTTATCAATAGTTATACACACAAGTCTTTTTCATTCTGTGAATAGAAGATCCTTTCAACCCTTAAACTTGTAAGTGTCTTTAATATCATCTGGTTTTCCTATTCTTATGTCTTTATGTCCGGGTGGAAGTTAGTAGCCACTTGTCATTCCATTCCTGGGCTTCTAGTAGGTCTCACTGCATAGCCTCAAATAAAGCCTGATAATAATATAAAATTTCAGAAAATTCTCTTTCCTGATGCAATATATATTTGTTTGCTTGTTTGAGCAACGTTTCACTGAAGGAAAATTCAGTAAAAATATGTAAAATGCATGAAATATTGAAGAAAAAAAGCTTGTGACTTGAAATTTGGCACGAGACAGTAACTGCGCAATTTTGCCTCCGGAGAACCTCAGGGTACGGTAATAGGACCACTCCTTTTCCTCTGCCACATAAATGACCTATCAGAATCAGTCAAATCACAAGTACGCCTTATCGCCGACGACTGCCTTTTGTATCGACAAATCAAAATGTAACCCTGGTAAAATACTAGCCGCAATATATCGCTCGGCTATAGAGAACTTCTCTTTAGCTCGATCGGTTGAGCGTTAGACTAGTAAGCCAGAGGTCCCGGGTTCGATCCCATGCGGAGGTAGTGATTTATATTTAATTAATCATGCGCTCGGTTACATTGGCGCCCACGTAGGGACCCGGGAAAAATACTCGGCCTTGCTCCACAAGCATCGCTGTTACCCCTGGAAAAACTCGAGGACGAGTTCTTTCCTGGAAGGGGGAGTATGTAACCCTGGTAAATACTAGCCGCAATATATCGCTCGGCTATAGAGAACTTCTCTTTAGCTCGATCGGTTGAGCGTAAGACTAGTAAGCCAGAGGTCCCGGGTTCGATCCCATGCGGAGGTAGTGATTCATATTTAATTAATCATGCGCTCTGTTACATTGGCGCCCACGTAGGGACCCGGGAAAAATACTCGGCCTTGCTCCACAAGCATCGCTGTTACCCCTGGAAAAACTCGAGGACGAGTTCTTTCCTGGAAGGGGGAGTATGTAACCCTGGTAAATACTAGCTGCAATATACTGCTCGGCTATAGAGAACTTCTCTTTAGCTCGATCGGTTGAACGTAAGACTAGTAAGCCAGAGGTCCCGGGTTCGACTCCTAGCGGAGGCATTGAAAAAATAATGTAATAACGAATACTGCTACAAGGGGCAGTAGAATGCAAACTATACAAAGAGAGAATGTGCCTAAACATAAGACAAAACTAATTCTGTCATAGAACTGTTGATATTTTGGAATGTCTACCAGTTGAGATTATCTCATCAAGAACTGTTAAATCATTTTAATTTAGACCATCACTAGAGAAACCAACCAATATGCTATAACTATAGGGATCCAATTATAATACACCCGTAGTGAAATATTTTGATCAAATATTTATTTCAAAGTTAAGAACACACATAATGACTTCAGTTGTCAATACTGTCATTTAGAATCACTATATGGTGATATTTCCATCATGATGCCATATTTGTGATATAATTTGTTTTTTTATTGTACAGAGCTGACAGCAGAGAATTTTCCAGTCCTTTAGTCAGAATAAAATCTGTGTATCTCATAATAATATATTAATAATTTCCGTAGAGCCACAGGGGTTCGTTAAAAATGTCTGAAATACACATATATATGCTTTGCTGATATATTGGTAACAACACATCTAAGGTGTGTTCAGCAGTTTTAAATATATGATAAGTTAATCTGATAAGTTTTAAAGAAGGAAATGGTGCATTGAAAATTATTTCCTTTGAACTAAGGTCAATGGAAGGAAATTAAAATAATTAGTGCAAGAAAATGTTATCCTTCCAAAATAGAGACTTAAGCATGACTTATTGTAACAGAGGTCATTATTTACCAGGGTGACATATTCACACTCAAAAGGGTTGATACTCTGGACTAAATCTGACAGTATACATGTAGGACATTAACAAGTTTAAGGACATAATATTGAATTCTAGTCCTTTTTGTATCTGGTTGTTTCAGTACTTGAGAATAGGATGTTTCAGTTCTTTTCTGTGAGGACGGAAAAATGCTATCTGTATACGTAACATTTCCCATAATATTACAGCTTTTCATACATGTACTTTGTCTTTTTACACAGGCAATTAAATGATGTTACGCCAGATGTGCAAAAGACTGTTTCCAAGGCACTGTGTACATTCTGGAATGTGTGGAGTGTCCGTTGACGGTAGATTTGAAGCAGGGGTGGTACATACATCAGCAGCAGAAACCATTGCCATGAAGCAAACAGTCCACTGCCTGCCTCTACAAAACTCCAGGGGATTTCATTCATCTTGTATACATAATTCAAAGGTAACATATCCAAATAGTGTTGATATTAAGATTCAGAAATGAAAAATAATGGTTCAGTCACATCATAATTTCTTAATTTCTAAACAGTCAATACATCATATTTTCTTTTACATTTTTTGGTGAACTTTAATCTATGACGTGATATGGTATATAATTCTTTGGCAGCTAGCAGCTGTCTATTAACCTTGATTATCTTGCCTCCTTGCACTTGAAGAACTATAAAAAATGTTTTACTCAACAATTGTCTGTATTTAGGGAGGGCTTTATGCTTCAAACCTAACTTCCATTTTGTTTGAAAAATTTGATGCACAAATGAATAATTTGTGTGAATTTTGAAGTATGACTTTGTAGTTAAATATCTACAAGGTGGCCAGCTGTAAAGTTTTGATTTAAGACGCAAGTGATAATATAGTCTGAATTATTCTGACGTTTTATAGATTTTTTTCATATCGGTCTGTCGTCGATTAACGTCAGAACTCCGGCCCTCTATAATATGCGGGAAATAAGCGACCCGCGCCCGGGTCGCACTTCAAACTGATATTTTAGAATTAAATCGTCACTTTCACACACATGTCGTTCATGGATCGAAAGATCTATTCTTTATGCACAAGATGAACATAAATTACATGCCTCAAACAATCAATACAATCACTAAAAACATATTTTTTCAAACTTACTCTGTTTTACTCTAGTTTTTTGATAGCCCCGCCTTCTAATGCCATGTGACTAAAATCTCGCCGGCCTACATCATATCGTTGGGAAATACCTTCAGTAACGTGAGATCTCATCAAGTCATGTGACATTGCTCATGCCCTAATTTCCATTAAAAACATGGGTTGGTAAAGAAAACGTTGGAAAAATACTGTTCCTAATGATCTTTGAAACATGTTACTGATACCACCTAATGCATAAAGAAAAGATCTTTCGATCCATGTGCGACATGTGTGTGAAAGTGACGATTTTTTTCTAAAATATCAGTTTGAAGTCGGCATATTATAGAGGGCCGGAGTTCTGATGTTTATCGACGACAGACCGATATAAAAAAGTCAATAAACGTCAGAATAATTCGGACTAATGATAATATTGTATCAATTTAAAGCTATAATAAGGCAATATAGTGTACTCTTAGTCTAAACCTATAGCAAGGCTGTGTAGGGTAAGCTAAGTCTAACCCTTTAACAATATAGAGCCTGAGGCCAGACCAGGTAGCTCAATTGGTCAGAGCGTCCGTCTGATGTTCTGAGGTTCCAGGTTCAAATCCAAGTCTGGCCACACACATTTCCTCTCTTGTTACATTTTACACCCTATAAGGTGGTTTATGGTATTGTGTGTCTTCAGGGTCAAAGACTTGGTTAAATAAGGGAGGGATATAGCAGAACTGGTCTGAGCCAATCACCTGAAACCTGGTTGCTCAATACCACGGTGAGAGTATTCATCTAGAGTGTTGAGTTCCTGGGTTTGAATCCCATTCTGGCCATGCATAAATCCTGCCCTGTTACATTTTACTACAGACCTGTACACGTTCGCTGTTCCACATTCAGCGTACCGTTTACGTAGCATTTCCGTACTGTTTCCGTAGCACTTGCGTAGCGTTTCCGTAGCACTTGCGTAGTGTTTCTGTAGCACTTGCGTCTACATCTTTCCATTTAAAAAGCGTTTGTGAAACGCTTTTGTGAAGGGGAAAAACCCCACAAAAATGACGGTTTACACATATATGGACATATAACAGCCCTCCTCCCATGGGCCTACTGTGTGTTCCCCACACCAGGAGCTAGGCCTTAGGGGTAATTTAAATAACAGGCATACAGCTGGCAATGTGGTAATGACCTGTTCTTGTTAAAGGTATAAACAACTTTAGTGGCCGTTATAAAGGTTGTTAGGGCAACATGACCACCTGCTGACAGATACATTTCTTTCAATATGATATCTATATACCTGAGAATCTAGGCAGTGATAATGCATTGACCATTCACCTGTGGTCACATTGGATTCTGATGTGTTGTACGTATATACCTGATCAAGGTCACATTCTCTGATTTCAAGGCAATTAAGTCCATGCCAGTTAATCCAGTTCATTGTCTATCCATCATGTACAGCTGTATACAGGTAAATCAGTTCAAGGTAAAAACCTACAGGTAAGATACTTTGGCTGCCCCTTGATCAGGAAATGACAGCCCCAGGCACAATTTCATTTCACAACAGTGCCTTAACAAAGGTAAACTAATATTTAACTTGGAATTCCTAATTTAATAAAAAAAAAAAAAAAAAAATGCCCCTTTTTAGGATATTCAACTTATTTTTTTTAAAATAATCTATCATGAGTTCTGTTATCAGCGAGCAAGGTTGAATACTAAGAATCTAGGTTAAAACGGCCCTAGTTGAAACGGCCCTACTTTTTAAATCGTGATATACAATTTGATTTGGTTTTAAATTAAGCTAGCATTCAATTTATTTCCAATTAGATAATTGTTATTTATGTTTAGTGAATTTAAATCGAGGGTGTCAGCCAACAATGCATACATTGTTGTTGTCCAGCTCTTGCCAAGTGGAGGCCCCCTCTGTAAGAGCCACACTAATTTAGTCTGCCGAAGTTACTACCGGACGATCGGGGAGATCAAAAGTCCCATCTAGTGTGTCGTCGTCCATCCCACTGATGTTCCTGACATCAAAAGAAGCGTTCAGCCTGTTTAGAGATAAAAAAAAGTATTCATGAATTATCACTTAACATAAAGCCAAGTTGTAAAATATGTAATTTTTTAAATGTATATTGCAATAAATAGACAATTATAATGGGACGTATAGATATATGAAAATAATAATTATAAGTATAACGGGACGTATATGTATATGAACATTGATGTATATTTCAATAAATAGACAATTATAGCGTAATGATTAATTTGACAATTACTAAATTAAACAACAACAATTATACAACAGTGAGATTATGTCTTCTTATCTTTTATATAAAATCATCCTTTATCTTACCATGCACGGTAATGTATCAATTGGGTATTTCTGTGATTGACATTTATATATATATTTCATATCACTTACCGGTACCACACGTTCTATGCTGCCATCTACTACAGCCATCGCACTGCAGTGCATGCTGTGCAGGTCGGATAACACTGTCGCACTCTAAACATTTCGTCAATGCTGGTCTCACGGTTGAAAGACTTATTCAAATTCAAATGATTTGTAAAGATTTTGCTATACATTCGTCCAATTTGTTACACCCTCTCAGGGATGTATAGTGAAGCGGATTAGCAACTCCCTCTTTGCCTTACCAATTTTATGGCACGTCAATCTAGACTTACCTCCCCCTGATTCAGGAGCAGATAACGAGCGCCACCTATCTCAATTTTGACAAAGCAAGATGGCGTCGATACCGCTTCGTTAGATTACAGAAGTTGGCGTGAAAACAAACCAATCGCGATAAGTGTTCTTACGTCTTTTGTTTATCCCATTGTTATAAGCTGATTGTATTACTTATAATTGATAAAATCTGTGGTATCATATTAATTGATGTCTCGTTTTTGGGGTATATTTTTCTATTTTTAAACGCGATGTAACGCGTGGTTCAGAGTATTGTGGTGGGCGTCGATAGACAAAAATGCGGGATAAAAAAAAACCCACATGTATGTGAACCACCTCACTCCAAAAGTATTTGACCGATCTTTTTTAAATTAGCAGCAATAGAAAGCTGAATAATTTTTATAACGACCCAACCTATTTTAATTGCAAATAATATAATTTAACTTGTGTTATTTTTGTGTCAAAAAGAGTAAATATCAGCATTATTTTTCACTGGAACGTAAATCATTATTGCGAAAGTAGTTGGTGACTGCTCACTGTTTTGATTAAATTTTATAAACTATCGTTTATATTTTTTAAAACAATTAATATCAATAAACAGCTGAGTAATTTCTATGTTAAGTAGGCCTGATTTGATTTGCATTACTTGGAACTAAAGCGATGTCACAGATGAAATTACTCGTCTGGTAACGAAGGACACGTGTTGTTAAAAACTGTAAACAAAAATGCGGTATAAAAAAACCCACATATTTGTGAACCACCTCACTCCAAAAATATTTGACTGATCTTTTTTAAATTAGTAGCAATAGAAAGCTGAATAATTTTTATAACGACCCAACCCATTTTAATTGCAAATAATATAATTTAACTTGTGATATTTTTGTGTCAAAAGTGTAAATATCAGCATTATTTTTCACTGGAACGTAAATCATCATTGCGAAAGTAGTTGGTGACTGCTCACGGTTTTGATTAATTTTATAAACTATCGTTTATTTTTTTTAAAACAATTAATATCAATAAACAGCCGAGTAATTTCTATGTTAAGTAGGCCTGATTTGATTTGCATTATTTAGACGATAGCGATGTCACAGATGAAATTACTCGTCTGGTAACGAAGGACATGTGTTGTTAAAAAACGTAAACAACCGGAAATGTTAAACCCAACAAAAAAGTATCGCCTGCATTCGGGGATCAGCTCATTTCAAAAATACTTCATTTTGAAATTTACAGCGATAGAAAGTTGATAATTTTTTGATATGTAGTACTAATTTTTATGGCAAAAAATAACAAATAACTTGTGCTGTTTTTGTGTCAAAAAGAGTCAATATTAGCATTATTTTCACTGGAACGTGCTTTACGAAATATGATTTGTTGTAATAGCCACCAACACAGCCGAAAGGCTAGACATAGTGGCAACTATAGCCCTATCCCTGGAATAAAAAGAAGACCTACTAATTAATACACAGTCCCAATCAGGGCTAACCATTATCAAAACACTCCCATCTCGGCGAGATTGGTGACATGATTTTAACGCTAGTGCGCAAGCGCGGGCTGATCGAGAGGGGCTCTTCATGACTTCGCGGTTCGGTAAACAAACACAAAAGCGACGTGCTATAGAATCTTGACCTGGGCAGAGTTGCCAATCCCCTCTATATACTGTCCCTGACCCTCTGACCAATCTC